TGATTTCGTAATTACTGATAAAAATTCCAAAAAAGTCAACATTTAAAAAAAACTCGGCAAAAAAATGTTTTCTGGGACCATGCGTCCTGATGGCAGGACGCATTTTTTCACAAAAAAAAATTCGCGTGGTCCCACGCGGCGGACAAGCAAAAATAGGCTGGTCGTCAACGTGTTAACAATAACCTGTCCTAATCGTTTCGAATCAGCGATATATCAGTTCACAGAGCATTTACCATATCTTACCCCACCAAAACTTCAACTCCCTTCCCATTTTCTGCCTCGGCATGTAACATCACGAGTAAGTGCTTGGACGGTCGGACGCCAGAAAAGCATGTGGGGATCACTTCAAAGTAATCCGTGAATCTGGGGGTTCAATATCCTTCTATTCTAAAGAGAAGTGGCAGGTACGAGCCCATGGCTCAGGTGTTGTGTGATACCAGCCCCTGTTGTGAAGATCACGCACAAAAATAACCATATCTCTGTTAAGCAATAACCCAAAACGAAATTTGCGGTGTACATATGGCAAAATTATTGATGAGTTCCTGGAATTTCAACGAAATCCAATGTGGGAATTGAGGTCAAGTTCTGAACAAATATTAAGTTCATTACAATACATCTATGACAAAAGTCATTGCTTTCATCTCCATGTGTTCCAAATCATCTGATAGGAAATTTCATAACCTCTGCAGCGATACCATATTGACGTATTTACCTTCATTAGTAACGGAGTTATGGCAATTTTTGCGATCCCATGGACAAAAATGCTCCAAAATGGTCGAATTTTTGATTGACAGTCATTCTTAGAATACATAATGTATGACGCTGAAATTTGATGTAGTTCGTCTTCTAATTAAGTACAATCAGCATAACGAATTTCGTTGAAATTGGAAGGGGTCGAGGAAAAAAGTGTGCGGACTGGCATGGAATCACCCTTTTACTTCACGCAATGAAAACATGTGTTCCACTCAATTTAGACGAAGCGGCTACACTCCTACAAATCTGTCCTGGGTAGGACTCCCTAATGATCGCGCTCTGTCTTAACAGGCCTTCGGGTTGAGCCTATCGGCTAAACTATTTTTCCATCCCTTCACTCCACTTGACATACTTAATTCGTTTGTGAAATCTTGAAATGGTGCACTGCCACTTATTCGCCCCATCTCGACTTTCATTATGGAAGTGGTCTACCCCTGTCTTTATCTGAGCATTCTGAAAATTTATCGATCAACTGTATTTACATTGGATACTTTGGAATTGCAATGATAACCGCCAGAAAGGACTTTGCAACCAAGGTGCAATAAACCCTATGAGCTGCCGCTAAATTGTCTTTACATAAAAACTATACTAATTATACTTTTTTGTTTCTTACACTGCAGTGTCCATTTATAATGGAAGGGACATCGCACTTCTCCATTTGTCGACCCCCTTGACCTTCAACACCAACATCCAGCCGATCTGCTATCCAGAATCAGACAACGTTCTGGGAACAGCCATTTCCACTTGTGACCAGAAGATTTACGGTTGGGGCAGAACCGATGTCAACGATACAGTTCCGACCACTATCTTGCAGAAGCTGGATGTCACTCTTACCGAGTCCACCACCGCTTGTTCGAACTTGACCGATGGGAGAGTCATTTGTGTGAAGGGAGATCCTCCATCCAGCTCAACCTGTAGCGTAAGAAATTTGAAATAATTTTCATGATCAAAGCTCCCACTTGTGCACATCAATACTAGGATAATCTTTTTAATACCCCATGCTGCGATAATATGCCAAATGCTCAGTAGTCTATGTTAGTGAGAGTTTCGTCTTCCAAAGGATCTCTTAATCTTAATCAAATCTTAAAGCAGAACTTTTCTTTCAATCATCTTTTCTTATTAATATAATTAAGAAGTTATTTACGTCAATATTAAAATTTAGATATTCCCCTTAGTGACTATACGAGGTACATTCTGGCAAAAGTATCTGGTAAAAGTAATATTTCCAGATTTTTTATTGCTTCTGAAAAATGGGAATACGTGATATTTGATAATTATTTCCTGGTATTTGCGACTCAAGTTAATTTCCAAGTATTGGCTTCAACAGGAAAATCATTTTCATATACATCCCTCGGGGCACATCTTCGGGACGCAATATTCCCGCTCCCAAAAAGCAGAGAGATGTTGCACTTGTTGGTATTGGATTGCGGAGTTCCAGAATAATACTAGTCTTGAAAAATTATATGAATAATACATCCTCTGGACAGATTATGGCAGGGAAGCGTTTCAAAATTATTTAATCACTCAACCAAAAATGGGAAATTTTAGGTAATTTCAGTTATGCACTACATTTTCATAAAAACGATTATTTTGCTTGCAATGTAAGTTTTAGCCTTGCAGCACTTCTCTTCCGGGCATTTTTTTTCGACAAGATTGCATTTTCCTAAAAAATGATGCATGGAAATAACGATCTCTTATAAATAATGATCCTTTATTGAAATATGAAATTGGTTGTAAAAGTAGTTATTTCGGTACTGATTTTTTAACAATTTTACTTTAACATACATACTCCAAGGGATTTTTTTCGGTAAGCATATTTTAGATATGTTTTTCTTAAACAACAGTATTGGAAGTACATTTTAAATCGAAGGTTCTATAAAGAAGGGTCTTTTTCTAGCCACCATAAAATGCATCCGTCTACCCATGACAATAGTGAGAATGGTTTATGATGACTTGAAGTGTCTCGAACTGTTCTAACTGTTCTAGAACAATTCGATCACAGTTCGTTATCGTGTACTGAAGTTATTTCCGGATTTCAGAAAATTCAAAGTTTTTAAGGAGATCCTCTCTGGGCCTTCCTTCTTTAAAGTGACATATTCCCAATATATTTTTGTTTCTTTGCACGAGACGGAGAAACGTAGAAAGCTGAAACTTTGAATAGATGTAGGGTAAAACGCCCAATGATAGGTCAAGGTCAAGGGCTTGTACTATGTGATGGACCACGATGCAGGAAAAGTACGAAAACTAAAGAATTGTAGCATGAACGTCTTTAACAGGTGGACCACCACGAGGCGCAATGGTGCGCCTGGCTGAATGGGAAAATCAATGAGCCAGCATTTCCGTGGCGGTCAACGTGTTAAAGATATTATGTATGTGCTGATAGTGTATGGAAAATGTAGCTGCAAGGATCATTCTGGCCATCATTAAGCCCACCCTTTCGAAAGAATACTCTTCTCCGTTTATTCTAGGCATGGCATATTCTTAATGTTTCTCTAACCTTTCCTCATCCCCTCTCATATGAATTTCTGTATTATGTAGGGAGACAGTGGTGGACCTCTGGTGGTCCGATATGGCGGCCGAGCCTTCGTGACTGGAATTGACTCGTACAAGTCGCACCGATCGCCGACAATTTGTGGGACTGGGTATTCCGGCTACACGAGAACTGCAACATTTTCCCCTTGGGTCGCTGGCTATATTAACGCCTGAATCTCCGTTATGTCACCAGCTGTGAATTTCAGTATTTGAAATGCCGAAATCTGCACTTTCCCTACTATATTCTCCTCTAAAATAATTTATCCATAGGGATTCAAGGAATTCTCTGCATAATTCCCTGCAGAATTTCCCAATTGAAGGATGTATAGAAAGGGCTTCATCATTGTGGATATCGCTTCTAGGGAATCTTCTAATCATGTGTCCGCAGGGTATTTCAGTTCGGGATCACACCTTCGAATTCACACTGTGCCATCACCACACACACGGCCATATTTCTAGGCATGTTACACATTTACTTCGCAAATTATGGGCACTGTCCTGTGTTCACTCATCGAAGCACTTTTCTTTCACAACTTAAATGCACATTTTCGGGAAAATCGTAACATATATTCACATTCCCATTGCAAACATTGAAAAAATATCATTGCACATCACGTTTTTCCTGAAGAAGTTACTAAGAAAATAAAAAAGGCTATTATTGAAACCGGAAGTGTCTTAATTGGGTTACTTACAAGCACCTGTAGTTTGCGACTCGCATTATATTGATTTTCCATTGTTACCTCACATACAATAGCAAAAAAGTTTAACAAACGCGCATGTCGAGGCATACGTTTTGCAGGAAATATTGCATATTAAAAAAATTGATTCAAGGAGCATGTCTGCAATTTTACTGAAGAGGAGAATCATTAACTAAAGAATTTCATGTACCGAATAAAAACATTCATATATGAGAATGACATAGCAAAAATCCGCGAAAATTGAACAATTTTCAAAGAGTACGGTACACCAAAGACGAAATGTACACTGAAGGACCAAAATATCACCTTCATCGACTGAGTAATGTATCACACGGCGAATAACGATGTTTGAATGATTTAGTATTCAAACGGGATGTGCATGAATAAAGAAACGCTTGGGTATCACGTAGGAAGAGTTCGTCCGTCCTCACTAAAGTAATGCATTGTGTCACATGCTGCCCGACTATACCTATGATATCAACATACGGAATATAGGGGAAGGTAGGGCAAAACGGGCGAGGGACAAAACGGGGTAACTCAGTTTTTAAGCAAACCATACCGATATCTATCGGCTATCTACCCTATTATAACCGCCAACCACAGGTGCAAGTTTTCAGGCAGGGCAGCGCTCTATGATGTAGTTTTTAAACACCCTAGTTGCAAAGTAAGAAAACATCAACTTTTGTTTTTTTATTTCAAGTATTTTGATGAGCAAAACAAAGTCACATGGGAACGTTGGAGGTGTCTGATATATTTTATTGGAAGGTGAAAATGTTAACAATTACATGAAGTCATAATTTATTGCATTGCTCACTCTTCTTTGGCAGTGTCTTGTAAGTTTTGACTCCACCTCATGCGTACTTCGCTAAAATAATTTTTTGCATTTCATCGCAATCAATAGGGAATCCAGCTTTGAATTTAAGGAATTCCAGAATTCGAAAATTTACTATCATTCTGATCAAGAGATGAATTCCAATTAAAGCATGTAGAAATCCTTCGTCAAAAATGATGATCAGGTTTAATATCCGCTGCAATGCTAGTCTTGCAACGCCTTATAATGCCTATTGCTTTTCAATATTCTTCAGCTTTCATCGTGGAAGAGCAGCAGAACAATATCTAAGACCTGTGAATAGCGTAAACAAAGGCAAAATATGCTTACCCGAAACAATGAGATCATAGCGTGAAGCTAGTTCACATGAAACATTTTTTCTGCCAAAAGCGTTTACTTGAAGGGATCCGTCTTCCTTTCAGAACAGCAAAGTTAAATAATCGTAATCACATTTCAAGTGAATAACTCATTCCATGTCTAAAAAAATACATATTTCGGTTTCACATGTGCCAGGGAGAAGAAAGTGTCATGGCATTGTCAAAGATCGTCGATAATTTCCTCGTTCGTCACTCGCAAGAATTGAAGTTCATCTACGTGGATTCTGTTTTGGATGACCTGAGATCATCCTGACCTGACCATGACCATGGTCTTTGCTCACTGGTAATGCTCACTGGTAATGATGCAACGTCGAGGCATTTCAAAGAGTTTATTCGTCACTACCGTGCCGCGCATGCGTTTGCTTCCTTCGGTGCTAAAGTCGAGCAAGTTCGTGGAAATGGCCCGTATTGTTTCAAAATCAGTGGTGACGTTTACCATATGGCTTCAACCGCCCTTGAGCAAATCGGTGATGCCGGAGTAGGGAATGTGTGACAACAGAACCATCTGGAGCCTCATGAAAACCTGCAAAATTGAGGTGTTCACAATGGTGGTAGTGGCAACGAGCACGAATATCGGGATCATCGTATTCAGGAACAAAATCTCTTTGTGTACGGTCAGTTGTATGCTTATAATTCCGATGAGGCGGTTGAGTTCAGAATGAAAAATGCGACGAATCGAGGGTGTCACGCAGAAGTTATGCTGACAATTGACCACGTACTGCGAACAGTCAATCCATACGCTGCGCATTTTAAGCAATTAGGAGAAGCGGCTCGCGAGGAAGAGGGGCGTGTTAGGCGTGAGTGTGGTCAGATGCGCGATGTTAGACTGCTGTTCATGCGTTTTGATTCCGATGACCGCAGGCGCTACAACTCTCCCACTGGTCCCAATGAGTGTGCATTCGTATTCGTCAGTGAAGACGGAAATGTTCAGCGCAATATTGATATCGCTGTGCATCCGAAGCACCATCGAACTTGCATGCGCATAAACAAAAACAGCCGTCACATTGACCCCATGATTTTCGTGCTACTGTTTCCTAACGGTGATCCCGGTTGGACCATTGGCATTCCGCATGACCAAAACGCTACCGCGTGCAGTACAACACAGTCACTCCGCTGCAGTTTTACGCACATAGAATTGCCGTGCGTAGGGGTGTGTTCAACCCGTTACATAGGGCAGGAAAACTGTTTCAACAGTACTGCGTGCACGGGTATGTCATTGCTGAATCCAATCGATTGGAGTTCATCAGACAAAATCAAAATCAGCTTCGGATTGAGTGCTACCAGGGCTTGGCCGATCTTATCGCCAATGTCGCTCTTGAGCAGCACGCGCGCGTTGGCAACATTTTCATTCTCCCTTCGTCATTTATTGGTAGAAAAAGAACCATGCAGAAAAAGTACCAAGACGCAATGGCAATTGTGCGCAAATACGGCCGCCCGGATATGTTCATCACTTTCACCTGTAATCCGAAATGGGTCGAAATAGGCTGAGAATTGGGCGACAACCCTGATGCTTCTTCGCGCCCAGATATGGTCGCAAAGGTATTCGAGTTGAAGGTGCAGGAGTTTCTCAAAGACATGGTGCAGAACAGAATTTTCGGGAAGGTGCTAGCCTACATCTATGTCATTGAATTGACAAAAACGCGGATTGCCACATCTACATTCGTCGTGGTTTTTGCGCGATGAGGACAAATTCAGAAATGGCGATGATATTGATCGAGTCGTGAGTGCAGAATTGCCGAACCCCGATTTCGATCGGGAATTCTATGACATCATCTTGAGAAACAACATTCACGGTCCATGCGGGCATCTCAAACCAAATTCACCATGCATGGAAAACGGGAAATGCACGAAGCAATTCCCAAAACAGTTCAGAGATGAAACCGATGCTACCGGTGACGGTTACCTTCAGTACAGGCGTCGTGATAACTCAAACGAAAATCATATTGTTCGCGGTGTGCCAGTGGATAATAGATTTGTTGTGCCGTACAATGCCTACTTGAGTAAAAAGTACAACGCTCACATCAACTTCGAGATTTGTTTCACGGTAGCAGTTGTTAAATTTTTTTCAAACGGCCATGACTCATCTCCAAATGAATGTAGGAACCTAAAACCATACATTTTCAGAAAGAGGATGAAATGAAATTTCTTTTAGTTTTTTTTTCGACTCTGTAGCCCAAACCGTTCAGGAGATATTTACATTTTTATACAGGGGCAAAAACTTTTGGCCCACCCTGTATGTAATTGAATTCCAAAAACGCGGATTGCCACGTCTATATTCGTTGTGGTTTTTGCGCGATGAGGACAAATTCAGAAATGGCAATGATATTGATCGAGTCGTGAGTGCAGAATTGCCGAACCCCGATGTCGATCGGGAACTGTATGACATCATCTTGAGAAACAACATTCACGGTCCATGCGGGCATCTCAAACCAAATTCACCATGCGTGGAAAATGGCAAATGCACGAAGCAATTCCCAAAACAGTTCAGAGATGAAACCGATGCTACTGGTGACGGTTACCCTCAGTACAGGCGTCGTGATACCTCAAACGAAAATCATATTGTTCGCGGAGTGCCAGTGGATAATAGATTCGTTGTGCCGTACGATGCCTACTTGAGTAAAAAGTACAACGCTCACATCAACTTCGAGATTTGTTTCTCGGTAGCCGGTGTTAAATACATGTTCAAGTACGTGCACAAAGGGCACGATTGCGAGCGGGTTGAGATTCGGGAAGTGGTCAACGAGAGCAACGGTCAGCACGTTGCAACACGCAACATTCGCAATTTTCTCGACTCTCGCTACCTCAGCGCTCCTGAGGCTATGTGGCGCATCCTCGAGAACCCAATGCATGGCTCATCCCATAAAGTAGTCGCACTGGCAGTTCACTTGCCAGATGGTCGACCCGTAATTTTTGCTGAAGGACGGGAGGAGGAGGCCTTACGGCGAACAAGGTCTAGAAACACAACACTGACTGCTTGGTTTTCTCTGAACGCACAAAACGAACGAGCCCGCGCAATCAATTATCAGGACATGTCTAATCACTTCACATTGACAGCTTCCAATTCGTAGAAAGAGTGCGTTCAGGGTGGTGATAAGGCAATAGGACGTATCGTGTCCGTATCTCCAAGGAATGTGGTGTTATATCATCTTCGTCTACTGTTGCTGCGTGTGCCAGGCGCAATCGTTCCAACATTTGCGTACGTTGAATGAAGTAGTGTTTCCAACTTTTCGCGATGCTGCGCGCGAGTTGAGACTCATTGAGGATGATGGTGAATGGAACCGATGTATGGCTGACGGCGCACTATACATGATGCCTAGGGCGTTGCGCGGGTTGTACGCTATGATCCTCATTCACTGTATCGCCGCCGATCCATTGCGCCTTTGGAACGACTACCGCTCTGAAATGACGGAGGACTTCGTCCGCGGTGGCGATACTGAAGAGGTGGTGAATGCATTGGCGCTGGGTGAGATAGAAAAGATGTTACAAGCTGGTGGGACCTCCTGCGCCGAGAAGGGACTGCCTGTGCCTCCAGATGTCGAGAACATTGTTCGCGCAGTGGAATACGAGGTGATTGAAGAACGGAACCACGGCAGCGAGATGATGGCGATGCTCAATGAGCGTCAGCGCGAAGCTGCTGACCACATCTTGCTGGCAGTCCAGCGAGGAGGTGCGCAGCGCTGTTTCTTTATCGATGGCCCTGGCGGCACTGGTAAAACCTTCCTATACAATACGCTAATTCGTGTTCTGCACGGTATGGGTCTGAAGGTGCTTTCAGTTGCGTGGACGGGAATCGCAGCAATTTTGTTGCCCGGTGGGATGACCTGTCACATCGCATTTGAACTTCCAATCTATCTGCACCATGAATTCAGTTGCAATTTGAACGAAAAGGCCAAAGATCTTCTACGAACTGCCGATGTGATCATTTGGGACGAGGCGTCAATGACTCCGAATGTACGCAAACATCAGTAACTGGCGCGAGAGTCCCTAGATTACGCAAGGTTGAGACGCAAACCACCATTTCACTACCACAATCCACCGCTAAAAGCAGTCGAAGAAGGTTAACAGGGCTTCCGAAGCGCAGGCCAGATTCTTGCTAAATGCGTAAGGATGAGCCCGCATTGGGAACATTTCCGCACTTTTCATTTAACCACAAATATGCGAGCAAACGCCGATGAGGCTGAGTTTGCTTGGTTGCTTGAGCTCGGAAATGACACTTCCCAAGGCTACTGGTCGATTCTGTGCGTCTCCCTGATCTTTGCCTAACAAACAATTGGCTGAACGAGGTATTCTCGAGAGCATGGCGTACGCGACGCGGAAATGCTGAGCCGGCGCGAAATTGTGTGCCCGAAAAATGAGCATTCCCGCTTGGAAGATGCATTAAGAACATTCAAGAGCACTGACAGTGTAAAAACAGATCATGATGAAGACGATGATCTGGAGCAAGTCAACTTTCCCGCTGAGTTCCTCAATTCATTGAACCCAAATGGTTTACCGCCTCATGATCTCAATCTTAAAGTCGGTGCCATTGTCATGCTTCTTCGAAATCTTTTTATTGAAAACTGTCTTTGTAATGGTACTCGGTTGATTGTTCGAGACATGAAAGATAACGTCATCAAAGTCGAGATCATAACCGGTGCGCGGAGTGGAAACTTCTATTTACTGCCACGAGTGTCACTCAACACAGCGACCGATCCAAATATTCCCTTCAACATGTGCAGAAGGCAATTCCCGATTCGTTTGGCTTATCACCATTTGGACCATCAACAAAGCTGCCCGCATCTTTGAATTCATCGGTACTCCCTATGTAGTGTTCAATCGCATCCGCTTTTTTTTAAGAGGGTGCGTTTCTTTTTTCCGACCGAAATAGAAAAGTAGGGAGTCCCTTAATGTATCTGCACAAAAAGTCCGATATCTTACGTGCCCACCGTACCTGATTACCTATCAAAATGAAATTTACCAGCATGAAAGATTCCTATTTGAGAACTGTATTTTAGGGGAAAACCATATTGGGAACGAGCCCGCCCGGATATATCTCGGTCAATAAGAGAACCGGCCGCACTTTAGATAAGCTTTATCTAATGAGAGAAGAGAATTACCCGAACCTCTCGATAAATTTAGTCGGTGTCCCTTTTCATAGTGCTCAGAGGGTATTGCTAGGAGTCTGAGTCAATCTATAATCGAAATTGAACAGGTGACTGAAGGAACCATCGCTTTTCTTTACAAAATGTCCCCTGTATCCTGTGTGAGGGTGAATTGGAGGTGGATTTGGAATCAGGTTGATATCGTTCTATCAGGTGACAATACGCCTAAGGGGCCATCCACCTGGCAGTTCAACGTTTTCTAAGGATTGACTCGTCCTCTGGCCTACTTTGTTATACAATTGGTTTTGCATTAACATCACAATTAATGAGGTATCAAGTTCTGACTGAAGGGAATTCCTGAATTAGAAATTTTACCTACTGTCCGATTTAGAGATGAATTCCAAATAGAGAATGAGGAAATCCTCCGTCAAAAATGATAAACCGGTTTAATATCCGCTACGATGCTAGTCTTGCATCGCCTTATATCGCCTATTGATTTTGCATATTCTTCAGCTTTAGTCGAGGAAGAATTGTAGGCAAATATCTAGGGCCTGTTAATAGCGTAAGTTTAGAAAGGGCGAATATGGCTTCCTGAAACAACAAGAGCATAACGTGACGCTAGTTCACATGAAACATTTTTCTGCCGAAAACGTTTACTCGAAGGGATCCGTCTCCCTTTCAGCACAGCAACGGTAAGTAGTCGTAATCACAGTTCAAGTGAATAGCCGAATCCATGTCTAAGAGATGCATATTTCGGTTTCCCTTGTGTCAGGGGGAGAAAAGTGACATGGCGCTGCCTAAGAGCGTCGCTGATATCCTCGTTCGTCACGCGCAGGAACTGAAGTTCATCGACTTGAATTCTGTTTTGGATGACCTCAGGGCAGAGGGGATCATTCGTCAACATGCATACTACGACATTCTCAGAAGGGATACGAGGAAAAAGACTATGTTTCTAGTGGAATATCTCCCTGCAAGCGGAGACAACGCTTTCCGGACTTTCATTAACGTCCTTCGGAAAAGGAAGTATGCCGACCTAGCCGACAGATTGGAAAAAGGTACGTTCCATAAAATAAATGACATTTTGCAGAAACACGTGTTCATGTGCCAATAACATAATCCGAGTATACCCAAAATATGATGTTGAAGAGGGAACCAAATTTGCTCATGTCTTTTTTGGTGTTCATGCCTGTCAAGTCTAAATGCCGGTTCCATATATCTGACGCTTCCAAGGAAATATGACTCTCAGCATTACATAACATAAATCAACCATGGCAAAAAATAGGGTGAGAAAATCAATTCGGTCCAAAATTAATTTGCATTTCAGGATGGTATCACTTAGGTCTATTACCTGTAGACGCGAATAGCATGAACATATTCGGCTATGTAATTAATGTATGTATGGTATCCGTATGTAATCAAATTACATTATTTTGAACAAGAATGGAATGAGCTGCTTATGGGATATGAAGACTCAAGCCTCCTGTCGACTTCAGAAGAGACGGGTTCTGCAGTCAAATCGCAAGAGAGACATGCTTGCATGGACACTAAATCAGTCGCCGTGTCTGATATCCATGCAACCGAGGGGGCCCTTTCGCGAATAGAGAAAATTCCCACAGGGAGAAATACTCCTCTTGATCTCATGCCAGATGCTACGCAAAGACAAGAACAAAGGTAAAGTTTGTCTGAAAATTACCTTGTTGTTACATGAAATCAAGCAAACATGGAAAATGATGTTTGCTGGTCGAAAATTACTGAATGGAGACGTTGCACTTCCCTCCGCCTCTCCTTCGTATAAAAAATGCAAATTTGTTATTTCAGTGCATTCTTGAGTCCTACGAAACGAATGGAGCTCCTGAGAAGCATTCTATGCGACAAAGCCACGCTGATAGATATAAGAGACTTTCTTCACCAACTTTCAGGTGAAGATCTCATAACGTTGTCCCAGGAGGAAGACATCAGGAAGACGGATAGCTACGTAGCGAAAATCGACAGTATTTTCTCCATCTTGTTTAGGAAAAATCCGCATTCGACATACAAGAAACTACTGAAGGTGCTTGAATCCATGGAAAGGGATGATATCGTCGATAGGGTGGAGGGTGGCTTGGGTAAGTGTTCTTTTTAGAAGTAATAAATAATCTCCATGCATTATATTGCTCAAATTGTATTCGAAGGCTGGATATCATTCTATATTTACTAAATCCCTAGGTTACTATCTTAATAATCGCATGCTTGAGTAAAGAATCTAATATATTAATTATGCTTCTTTAGCGCAAACCGCAATAATGGTTAGAGGAAACCCCTCAAATCCCCTGAATTTCTTTTAAAATATCAAAAACTATTGAAATCGAATGCCTGTAAACGCTTGAACAGCACTGTAAACCCGGTATGCATGAAATATATTTCCTTCATCTATAACAGTAAGAGGTGAATCGCCGAAGTCACTCCCTGACATAATTCAGGCGAAGTGGGATATCCTGATCGACTGCTTGAAGGTTGATGAAATTACTAATTACCTGTTCAAATCAGACGTTCTAACGCAAGGCGATCGAGATGAAATCTCGACGCCAAGAAGAGAGAAGGAAGGAAGAATCATCCTTTTGGCAAAGTTACCTGCTCGGATCGAATCAAAAACATTCCAAAAGTTTATTGATCCCCTGAAGGCAGTCGGGCAGGATTTCCTGTTTCAAGGGATTCAATGGTAATGTGAGTTAAGTTTCATGAAGTGGAATGCAATAAGCTTTGCGTTTCGCATCTGTAATTGCACTTATCTGATTTTTTATTGATAGGGGAAGAGATCGAGAGTTCGACCTAAGATGAGAAAAGTACCCTTCTGATTATGTCTGTAAAAAAAGTCCCAAATGTTATTTGTCACTTCCACTTTTTATCAATATATTTCATGTGAACATTTATACGGTGACAATCCCAATATCTTGTATTTTTTCATTTTATTTCCTTTGCCATTGCCTCAATGCATGAATAAATCCTTTATTTCTTGACACCACTACATTATTAAACTTGAAATATATTTTTTCGCTGAATCCTTGAGTTCACAAAACGTTGAATATATGTGATTGAAACTGAGATTATTAACAAATTAAAGTCATATGAAACCATTTAAAATGTATGGACCTGACAATAATGGGAAAACTGCTGGGCCGCGAGAGAGTGACTGATTCACAAAACAGACACAATGTGGTAAGAATGCACATTTGGAAACATTTGCGAAGGCAATCAAGTCCCTGTGGTACTTTTCGATCGTTGCAAATATATATATTTGTTGATTTAGAGTATTTTCTCATGGCCCATGTTTTTGTTCAGGTCAATTGTTTCTTAATTTAATTTTAAAAACATATATTGCACTCCATTGCATTCCTCGTGTTACGAATGTCTCTTGTGAGGGTGAGAAGAGGTTTCCTACTGGCATCGGCAAATTTACGTAAGCATCAGTGATACTCTATACGATATTATCGTATTTCAGCTGATTTGCCTTACCCCTTGGGGATAGGTGATATTTGAAATTAATAATTATCTTTCTTTACAACATAATGTTGTAGCGATTTAGATGTGGGTGGAACAAAGTCGTTGTAACAATTTCGGATGAGCTCCTCATTAAGACTAAAACAAGTACAAATTGCTTCTCGTCTCAGCTTTTAGGATCTCTCAGTGAGATTGTAATAGCCCTTAAGGAAAATTTATATTTCAAACATAAAGTATTTTTCTTGAGGGCAGGATGGCAGGATCAGATTTTAAGAAAGAACTCATCCTGAACGTGACATGGTTTCACATTCTAGTTTATGCAAGTAGTATTTTGACTCGTATACATTTTAGCAAATAAATATTATATTTATATAAATCCCTAAGACTTGGACACGGACATGGACATGCTTTAAGGTAGGAAAATTTCGATTGCTGAGGAAGTAGTTTCTTTGAAGTGGACTGAAAAAAAACGATTAGCTCCGAATTTCTTTAAAATATTTAAAACGGCATTAGGCCTTCATATTTTTGCGAGGATCTATCTAAACCCCGAGTTTCTAGGTATTAGACATTGAACGGTGTCTTGTAACCGTATGCACCCAGCTGTTTTCTTGCTAGATTGAGAAATCTTCCACTACACACGATAGGCACTCTCCGTCCATGTGTATTGTCATTTCCACATGAATGCCATGCCTCTCTTATTATTTCATCTATGACGTTTTCAAACTGAAATAGGATGCCATCCAATGACGACAATTGGGATATAACAGGGAAACTGTAAGTGCCATCGGACGAATGGGAGGAACAAGGGCGGCAGTTGGGAATTTACGAAGATCATCTGCGTAGGATCAGGGAATGAAGAAGGGTCAATTAAGGACTCTATATCTTCTTTTGGCCGAGTGGAAGAGTTCCTCGACAGAACAGCCCACAACGTTCTCATCTCTCTACAAAGCATTGCTGGAACAAGGCATGAAGCCCGAAGCAGATGATAGCATCAATGTCATCTGCAAAAGGAATAGTACTGAGCTGAAAGAAGGCAAATGAGCGTCTCCAATGCGTCCAACCATTATTTATTTTCCATCATATGATGCTAATCAATATTTCGGAATAAAAAAAATGCATTTCATTTTAGAATTATTCCAACTTTTTGCCTGTGATTTTCAAATGCATTTTGTTTTCCTCCATACTATTTATTCTGAAGGGCTTAATGGATATGATAGATGCAAGCGATCGAATGTCGTTTTCAAATGTTTTGAGTAGTCATGAAAACGTTATAAGGATTTGCGTAAAATTTAGTCACTTGCCTCTTCCATACCTTTTAATCGAACTCGGGAATCATCAGTGTTTAAATTACCTTATGAAAATGAGGAACACTGGCTACTGTTTCAAACCTTGAACTCACACATGTTATTTGAGGAACTTGAAGGATTCGAGTGTCTTTCCCTCCGTTCTGTGGGGACAGATAAAGTACCGGATGAAGAACGTGTGTTAACCCATTGCCTGGTACAACTGATGTCGCTCATTTTTTGTGCCATCTCACTTCATTATTGAGAACCTTGCTTGTTCAAACACCCGATATAGATCAACAAATGCTGGCAGATCAACAAATGGTCCACAGATCAACAAATGCTGGCAGCTGTAATGGCTGGCAGCCGTACGCGGCTGACCCGAGTAGCCCAATACTATGCGTGCCCACTCTCCCACTCGCAGCCAAGGCGAACCCAACGTGGTGTGCTGATTTGGAATTTGTTTAGGTTGACGGTTCTCTTCGCAGTTTTTTTTTAAAACTGATTAAATTGAAGTGCTGTTGGGTTGACAATTTATTATCAAGTGTAATATAATCCTGTCATATCGCCATCGTCGTCGTCTAGACCTTTTATATATAATATATGAAAATTGCGAAAATCGCGAACCGCTCTTTCATTTAGTTGCCTGGAGGAGAACTTAATTTCCCTCAAACTGTCAAGTGCAACTTTGGATCATCGAGTCGGTCCGACATTGGATTGATGAAGGAATGGCAATATTGGGGAGAAAATATTTAGCCTATATTGGCTAAATTGGGCAAGGTGTGTAGCCAACGTGCCCAATGTTGGCCCGGCATTGAGTCGACATCTGGTGTTACTGGGGGTGTTTCACCAATGACGCGCCATCAATAGCAAGCTAACCTGAAGCCTTAATTAGGCCTGTGTCTTTTGGCACTGAAGTACCGAATGATGGCCAGTCAAACAAGAGCCATGAACGAGCCAATCATGACTGCCGATGCCGATGATCTGGCGACGATGGGCAATTATTGGGCCAGGTTTTTCGGTATTGTGGGTTGTGCACTTATATCCCACATTACCACACATCATTGGGCCAATAACGACAGATATCATTGGCAAAATGCTTGGGCCCCCATTGAGCCGCCAACCAAAGCCCTAGGGCAAAATGCATCATCAGTCAGAGAAAGGCCAACCAATCCGGTCAAGGATGGCCCAATATCGGCAGAGTCCTTCCCTGCCTCAATATCACCCAAATATGGGATCTATATTGACTACCAAGGAATATGCATATTGTCCCAGTACCCCTATTGACCCAAAAACCTTATTTGGGCCTATGTCCTCCGCCATTGAAATACCTAAAAATGGCTACCCTAACTGAAGCCATGAATGAGGCAAGCATTGCTGTCAATTCTGATAATCTGCCGACGTTGGCATGTGAGCGCCATTGCAGGGCCAAGCTCTATTGGTAATCTGGGATCCTTTTTCCTGTTAGAGGCCTACATGAGCCCAGCTTTCCGGAACGGCAGTATGCCTTTAGTTTTTCCTAATCAGTTGGTGAGGAAGTACTCCATTGGCAGTGTCACGTCAAACAAAAATTATTTGCATGAACTGGTTTGAGGAATCTCACTTCTACGTGTTCTCACTGCAGGAAAAATTACTATTTCATGCATATTCCATTATATTCATACCGACAGCAGGATGATCGAAGAGGGTGTCGTCCTGGGAAAAAATATATGCGCAGAGATAAACTGCGCGGAGATAAGACTCAGGACAAATGGAAAAGGAAAATATGGTATCTATTCGCGCAATTGAAGGACGACATTTGTTTTCACTAAGATTTCCGTGCTTTGTCAGTGGCATCCAGGAGAACCAGCACCGATAATTATAATTAGCATCATCACTGTTGGCTACGTGTTCGTGGAAATCAGGGACCTTGTATATAACGACATAAGGTATACTTTTTGCCTTCATTCCTTATTGCTATATTCAAAAACACCAATAACGCCCCCTTTATATAAATTTATTGATAATTGAATCGCTGGAATCTAAAGTCGAGCCAGTGTTGATACTGCGGGAATTCCAGTCTCATTCATTTTTATAGGATCCCGTAGTTTAAAGAATTGTCAACAGGGAAACAGAATGCGGGAATCGAAGTTAATGAGATATACCTCGTAGAAAGCGAAGTAAATGAAACATTAATATAAACTGGAACAACGTGAAATACGTTTCCAAATGAATTGGACCTGTGAAACTTTGAAATGCTCGTCGCTTCTCTCCATGGAGTAGGCCTTCCGCATGGACCATATAATACCTTAAGCAGGAAAAATGTTCCAATGTCAGTGTTGTTTTGATGCATATGGGCCTGACGAAGATTAGAGAGCAGGAAAAAGTATAAATGAATCTATGTGAAAACCTATTTTACATGCCTTTCCCATCCTTCTATCCCCACCCCCTTCTCCACAGGACTCACTAACGTTAGGCCGAGGCCTAGACAACATGTTCTCTTTTTTCTCTCAAAAGAAAGTAAATTCTCGACTTACAGGGCTAATTAGGCCTATAATGGCGGATTCGTGGTTTTCGAGACATCTCGTTGAGGACGTGTAACGTTAGGCCAATTGCAGGCCTATTCGTACTTTCTATAACCCTTTCCGAGAGGACGTGGAACATTAGGCCTATCTCTAGTTCCTCGAACCATTTCGAATTGGTCTGAGAAGGGAATGCCACCAAGAAGCATTAAATTCACGATGCACTCCCTTCTGTTAATTCAGGGATGTCTGGATAATAAATATCCATATCCCAACATATCGATCTATAGCTGCAAGCCATCGCTTCAGTCTCACCCCAACACATGAACTCAGAACAAAAAGTATCATACATAAAAAACCTAAGCCCCAGGCTCCGATACGAAGATTGAAGTAGTCATGGATCTGGCATAATTTGGCATGATATCCGGCAACACTGGGAGACAGGACCAGAGCTAGCAATCTAAGCCTAATTTATTTTTTTTAAAGGACAAAATGGTGCATCGCAAGAAACAAAAGGGGCACTTTTCGTCAAGATGTCCCACTGGTCTTTCAGGACAGGTAGTCGTAAAAATGTCGTCGAGAAAATTATAAATGTGGACTTGATGTTCAGTCGTTCACTTCCTCGTGTAATCAGAATCGTTGTGTTGTTTTAATGGGTGATTCAAAATGACCACCCTTTGCGTCTCTACATGCCTTCAGACGGCGCGGGAAGTCATCGACCATTTCACACAGCTGATTTTCGGTGATCTCATTCCACGCTTTCAGGATAGATGCTTTCAGCGAGTCCAGATTTGTATGTCGTGTAGCACACACCTTCCTCTCCATTATACCCCAAACTGCGTAATCCAGCGGATTTAGATCAGGCGAATTCGAGGGGTAAACGTCTTCATCCCAAAACGCAGGAAACAGCTGTCTGCAAAGGGCTTTCGTGGACTTCGCTCTGTGTGATGGTGCCCAGTCCTGCTGAAGTGTCCACTGGGCCTCTTCGAAATGAGAGTCCGCCCATGGCTTCAGCACATCCCGAAGGATGCGTTCCTGGTAGAATTCGGCATCGATTTTGGCTCCTTTCTCGACGAAGACGAGAGGCGTCTTTCCACTTGCGGTGACTCCACCCCATACCATCACAGAAGCTGGGAACTTCTGTCGTGTGACAAAAGCTGCTTCTGGACGCTCCTTCGAGTTCTTTGGCAACAGAATCCGGTCATTTTGGACATTGAACATTTGTTCTAGGGTAAATACCTTTTCGTCTGTGAAAACAACATGACGATGTCGAAGAGCACCGGTCAGCCGCTTCAGCTTCTTCACTTTTTCAAGTCGATTGTTCATCATGGCTTCCGTTAAGTGATGACACTTTCGCAGCTTGTAAGGGTGATATCCAAGAACCTTCTTGCACAGAATTCTGGCGGATTCTCGCTTCAAACCGGTGCTGCGGGCCAATTCCCGCATAGATTGCCTTGGTTTTCGCTGAATCCTTCTTTTTAGCTTCCTCCGGTTTTCAGGAGTGTTGGCGGTTCGCGGCCTTCCACTTCTTGGACGGTCTCCTTCATGCCCCAACTCCTCGTAACAGTTAATGGCCCGGATCACGGTTCTTCTGCACGCACCAAGTGTCTTTGCGATATTGCTTGCACTCATTTTTGTCTCGTGCAAACGGATGATGGCACAACGCGTTTTCTTATCCATCAAAAAATACAAAAGAGTGACGCTATAGAAATGAAACTTTTCACACACATAGACAATAATGTTGGGGAGTAAAACTGCATGAAAAGATTGCTAGGGCTTTTGTATTTATATAGTTAAAAATATAGGCCAAAAGTGGACAGGACTTTCTGGTCACCCTGTACAAGTCAATATATTTATTTTAGTTGGTCTCTTTCCTCCAAAAACCCTCTTGGAGTTGCTGCCCAGGGGAGAGAAAAAAGAGAATGAAATTCACATCTTCCAAAGGGGATTTCAGTGTTCACAACCCCAGGGAGATTGAGCTTAAAATTGGCTGGAGTGATTTTTTTGTCGAGAGTGGAGAAACATGCCCAATTTCGTTTCTGATGAAGCCCTCAGAGAGAATACTACGAGGAGTTTGAATTTTGTTATGGTAAGGGTTTGAAGAAAGATAATAGGCGCTACCAAACCTTATAGATTCCTCGAAATGGCTAAACGATGATGAGTTCTTCCTTAGAAAATATCAGGAGTCTGATTCACGCTTTGAATCCTGATATTTACACATATTTACTCCTGATATAACACGCAGGTTTCTACCGCCTATCCCATCCAAATTTGGAGTAAACTTTTCTAGGATTCCAGGGGCAGGTCAGTAATCGAATCGAGAAAATTATCAATTAGTATGACGTAAATACATTTCCCTCTGCATACAAATAGGTAAAACAGCACCCGAGCTGAGCGGATTTTCGTAGAGACTGCATACATTGAATTCGATAGTGTATGCTACTACTTCACGCTAGTCTATCGGTGGCCGAATAACTAATAGGTTGCTTGCATCCTCCAGAAAATTTTGTGAGGAGAGATAAGGCAGACCGAGCAGCAACATGATGATGACTCATTGTCAATTTTAGAAATCAACTTACAAAATGTCCACTTCCAATGTGAATTTGAAACCATGGTTATGTCCCAAAAGGTGGAAATACATCAGGTCATTCTGTCATGTGTACTTCGAGCTAAGTGTATGTCTTCCCTCCCCATAGTGAATTTTGAAGCTGATGGATATCCCGCCAACAGGTATATATACGCCAAAGCGGACATCCACCCGCTTCTAAATCCACATCCCATGTGGATGTATTAAAGGGTTCCTCACGTACAGTGAGCAGAGTGCTTCGTGTCCCGCTCTGCTATACTCTGGGAATTCACATGAGAAATACTATTTTCTGTTTTCACAGCAATAGACGAAACAAGAGAATCCAGCATCTCTCTCATCTCGTCTCGCTACTCTTTCCTAACTCACGAAAGAGCAATGAGCGACGTGGCCGACATCCTTGCTCGTTACACTGAGGACCTGTCGTTCATCGACTTGAAGATCATTTTTGGCGACCTCATGGTTCAGGGGATCATCAAGCACCATGAATACTTCGAAATCGTCAACGACGGAACGAGGGAGAAACAGCAGAGGCTGTTTCTTCAAGAACACCTGCCTCAGAGGGGAGACAATGCTTTTCCAACTTTCATTACAATCCTTCGCCAGCGAGGTTACGGTTCTCTTGCCAGCAAATTGGAAACAGGTGAGGCATGAAGCGCATTACCAATTCCTAGAACTGGTGCATTATCGCAGTGTAGTAATACTTATGAGATCAAAGTAAATCAAGGAAGAGATGCTTCCATAGTAAATATGATAAAACGCTTCATACAAAAAGAAAACACAATCTCTCACTTAGATGGTGAGTCATAATAACGGCACTTATCTTCAAAATAGAAATCATATACTATTTTTAAAAAAAGTTTGAGGAGTTAGGAACAAAAAATTGGCTAGCATGATTTCGAGATGTTATGCTAGAGCCGTAAATGCGCATGTCTTCATTTAGATTCGTTTTTCCTCGGCAGACTGGACAAACGCGAGAGCTCAACGCAAGAGAAGATGAATGAAAAGCAGTGAAATCAGAATTTTCCGCATCTCCACGACAAGACGCATGAAGAGGAACAGCCCCACCACGAGTCAGGAGAACGAGTTCGACGTGCGATGCCATCTCGGGTGAAATGACATGAGGTGAGGCATGCTTGAAGAAGTCGCCGAAAGTGGAGAAGTGATTCCTATTCGGAAATAAACAGGCAGTGTATTGTGGATTTGCACGTGCCAATTTTCATTGGGCTTAGTCTTCATGGAAGATTATGAACAATTGGGAATACTATTGCTTATTTAGCAGCGGTATTATTGACAATTCTTTATCAGATCATCTGACTTCCGTTCTTGAATGGTCGACATGTGGACATGTCGCTTTCCCTGGAGACAGAATCACATGTGTGCTACAATTCAATGGAACACATCGGGAGGTGCGCTGGTCTTTCGCCATTTGAGGATAACCGAGAAACTTCTCAAAACCCGTGCTGATTGTTCCGCTGAAACCTTTATGAATACATAGCACGGTGTATTCGCTTCTTGTGGGAAGCTCAGGAATGAAATCCGGGATTCCTTCCAAACTTCGGTGAATTTGGAAGGATTCCCGGATTTCATTCGGGATTCCTTCCAAATAGGATTCGGCGTTTATGTTCTCGATTTCTCATTCGTCTCAAGAATGATTAAATGCACCATTTATGTTAGTTGTATGCGGCGAAAGAGCGTATGGAAAGCTATTCATGTATTTCATTATTTTGCAAGCATGGTATTAATCCCGGAAAAACAGTTATGTCCCAGAAGATGGCTTATTCTGCCATGTGGTCTGAAACAGTGACATGCATGGAGGATTTGCAATTTTCTGTCGGACGAGAAAATAAAGAAACGAGAACTCCCCCCCCCCAAAAAAAAAAAAAAAAAAAAAAATTTTAGGGAACACCAGGATGGTAGGATCCAAATAATTATTTTCGGAAAAAAAAAAAAAAAAACAAAAACCCCCCCCCCCCAAAAAAAAAAAAAAAAAAAAAAAATTTTAGGGACCGCCAGGATGGTAGGATCCCAATAATTATTTCCTCTAAATGGAAAAAGTAAAAAAAGGATATGTATGCATTTCCTCGCTTCACTGCTGCGAAAAAACTCATGACAAATCTATTTTAAGAGAATAAATTAAACATTTTCAGCTTTCGACAGCTGACGAATTTGCAGCAGGGAAAATTTTCGAAAACCATAACCAGACAGTAACGAACTGGGACGGTTGTCACAAATTTACTCCCATCCCTTGTGCAACCGCAAATATCGTAGGTCAACAGGAAACGCAATGGCCGCTCTTCAAACCAAGATACCACCAGCTTCCGCTGACGCATGGAAGACGGCGTCGCACAGGATTTGTTTTTTTATCCCAACGGCACGTCCTCGATAAGGAACAACATTTATTTAACCTTCACTTCATATTTCGAAGCATTTGGCCCGTAGAGCACAAACGCACAAAAGCGCACACTTTTTGCTCGGCCAAGCTGGCGGTCAGGATCGTACACGCTATATATTTAACCGGAGAACCTCCATTGCTTTGCAACCTTGATCCTCCGGTTTGTATTAGGATGGTACCGCAATGTCCGTTGACTAGGACGAGACAGAAGCGCGAAGACATTCGCGCTCGTCGGCCTCGGTGAGCGATGCGACCGTCCCTTAGCAAGTCCCGTGCCAACTCTGGTCTCTATGTCCATTCATATGATGGCGAGACGAAAGTGAAGCTATTAATATTCCGTGGAAGTTCCAGTCCTTTGGTGGAGCTCACCTTTGCATTTCTTTCTCAAAGGCATATCTTCGGATGTCGATGCCGATTTATTTGAGAACCCGCCGTTTATATCCCGAACCGTTCGGGGCGCAGAGCTGCCGCATACACCAAATCTCGCAAACACACTGAGGCACATTAGTCCCTCGGCCAAGCTAGCGATCAGTACTGTGCACAATATATATTTAACTAAAATGAGTTATCTGAATGGCTGTTTTGTAACTTGCAAAAAACATTTAGAGGGTCCATTAATGTATTTATTGCTTTAGATACAGTGAATGCAGTAAGACAGTGAGTAATTAAAGAATGAAAATGCTTTGGCAAAATATATATTTCATTCAAACAAAGTAATAATTATTTTCCTCATCGAGAATCATCGCTCCCAATGAGTGAAGCCTCCTACTCTCCGTCTTCGAGGAAGTTTTTGGTACCAGATCGACTGATCCTCATATTCTCCCACAACATATCCAAATCCGGTGGGTAAGAGAGCTTGACTTGTCCTTGCTTCGGGCCTGGGCCAACCAGGCCGAACCGCAGCCTATTTATGACTGTGCCTGTAAGCAGTAGACTTAAAAAAACTCTCATGACGAGACCCACACTCGATTTTTTTGGATCACCTTGAAAAACTAGAAATTTCTCACCTGGGAAATCCGGTCCTTCACGATACAGGAAAAGTTAACTGCAAAATGGCGATCCCTGAGGCACCATGCGAAGGACAGACAAATAAATGAGATCATATACTGGCAAATGCGATAAGGTTACGGGGACAGTTCCCAAAAGAAGTTGAACGTAATCGGCTCCTTGTCTTAAATGGAGTTTCTGCTATCAACTATCAGGCGGAATGTTTAGATGGGCCCTGTAAAAGGGATGACGATCGCGCAAGAACTAAAAACGCTCGATGAGGTTCGCTTTAACGAAGCCTATGAAAAAAATCATCTCCACGAGAATGGACAACGATTCGGTATAAAGGAGACATAAGACAGTGCATCTCGTTCCCTTGCTTCGACAACGCAGGCCGAAGAATTCCGGAACCAGTTAGGCCAGGACTAGTAATGCCTAAAAGGCTCTCTCTTTTTTTCTGTTGTGCATCATTCCTACAAGAATCTGCCTCCAAGTTAAACGGGGACAATTCCGAACGCAATTAGAAAGGTGGCACAGATAAGCGAACAATATGTCCTAGAATCATTTGAAGATATCGATAAGATTAGCGGGTCGTGTTGCTTACATTTAATTGAGATATAGGTGGTTTGCACTGACGCTGTGCTCACCAAGCAGAACGATTTCGCCCTCACTTTGTTCACCGAGAACGAACGCGGGACGACTTTCGACCGAATTCCTGCAACAGTTGATTACCCCCACGTGTCGAAGCTCGTCAAGTGGGGATTCGATCTGGACTTTGACCCGAAGACCGCTTCAGCGACACACGAGAACTATAAGGAAAAATCAAAGCTACGGGAAATGCACTCATCAGGGATAAAATTCGGAAATGGGATGCATAAAGGCGCCCAGGTGACAGAGCGGACTATGAGGCCCATCACGAGGACGTTCAAGCGGGAAATGAGCTCTGGGAGACGGGGAGTCCAGGAACGGCTGGGTAGCGATGCTAAGACGAGCCCCAAGGATTTTTACCGGTGTAGTAGGTGTCGACAGTCGATGAGGCCTCTATTGAACGGCAGAGGGGAGTCGATTGCAAGTAATAAAGATATGGATTCCCATCCATATCTTTACTTCACGAGATCTTCGTTTCCGTTTTCACGGTCCAATCCGATGAAGCTTTGGAGGAAATGGCTTCGGCGTACATAAAAAGATACTTCCATCATCGAGGAGACGATCATGCGTATGATAGGGAAGCTAAAGATTGGTTAGGGGATCGGCCCCGATGGAATTCCTGCGAGAGTCTATGTCAAAGGAAGGAGACCCATGAAATAAATTCATGGACACCCCATTTAGTGTCGAATGAGAGCAATTTTGCGAGAGAGCGCGTTTTAATTTTCAGGTTGGAATGGAAAGGTTCACTTCCCCTAAATATTTCAAAGCTAAAAGTATGTCAAATGTCTTTACCTGCCTACGGCAGTCGATTGGCTGCGAAATAAGATTTACCGACGTGGAAGAATCCTGTCTGTTGGGGACGAGCCCGTAGGGAAATATCTCCCACCGTTGCGAAGAGCGGACGAATATGTATACCTTATCTATGGCGGTTATGCTTTATCCAATGAGAGGAGGGGGACAGGCGACAGTCGATGTCGTGCTTCATTGTGTTTAGAGGGCATCGTGGGGAGTCAACTTATGATCGACATTGAACAGGTGAGTGAAGGAACCATCTTTTTTGCACCTTTCGAATTTAGTGCAATTTAAATTTTTCCGTGGCACTTACACTTCATGAGGAATCAGCATTAACCGAAGAAACTCTCTGAATCCATAAGGTTATCGATTGTCTGATTAAGGTGAAAAACCCTCACAAACAATTCAACCCGGAGGACCTCAGTTGCTAAGCAACCGGTTCGCAATCAGGGTCCGGAGGTTAAGCATATAGCGTGCTCGATACTGACCGCTAGATGGGCCGAGCGACAGTGCTTCTGTGTTTATGTGACAGCTCAATAGGCGAAAACACTAGGAGATGTTAACTCAGGAATTCAACACAAATTTTCGTTATCATCTGAGGATGCGTCTCTGTTATGTTAAACATGCGAATTGGCCTTACGAAAGGGAGGGGATGTAATTTTCACCGAAAATTGGAGATTCGCTCTCGTCTCGCCATCTTTCGGAAGGACGAGGAGACGAGAATTGCCTTGATACTCGAAAGGGAACGGTGACATCGCTCGCTGAAGTGCCTCACACCTGATGCCGGGTAATCTATGAATTTGAAGGGTCCATACGAAATACGTCAGTTCGTCGCCAATTACGTTCGCACGGGCTCCGCAATGAAGTGTATCACCTTTGTTTACTCGTGGAGATTAATTCTCAAAATGTAGAATTTCAGAATTGCCGAGTGACGTGCTCTTTCGTCACTACCCTCAGCACCTTCAGTCCTTTTAAAGGACTCAAGAACGATGCAAGGAAGCCTACGAGCGCGAGGGTTCTTCAATGGTTGCATTGTTCTCCCGTGTCAGTGTCGCATTGGTAGATGACAAGAAATTAAGTTCGTTTCTTGAGACCAACTTGGAAAGGATCCAAAGGCGCAATATCCAAGCGGTTTTTTACACATGCCTTGCTGGGATTCAGTAAAGGAGATATGAATCAATAGTTTGGAAATATTGCAAAAGTCAAATTCGAACATGACGGACCGTTATGACTAGGTTTCATATTGTAGGGCCATATTCCCCCAAGTTACCCAATTCAAAATAAGGCACATTTTTGGATCACCCTGCAAATGCTTTCTAACTAACGATGCAATGATACGATACCCACTTCTTTGTTAGTCTCCCAACGCCTTCAATGGCTCTTAGTTTTGCACATTTTTTTCTGTTTCGTCGGGGAAGAGAAATAGGCCTATATCTAGGGCCTGTGAATAGCGGACGTCAACTGAGGGCGAAGATCCTTTCCTGAAACAGTGAGAGCATTATGCAACGCTAGTTCACAGCAAGGATTTTCTCGTCTTACAAGTCTGTTGAAAGGAATCCATCTCCCTTTCCACGCAGTAGCGGTAAGGAATCATAATCATATTTCAAGTGTATCGTCTATTCCATTTCAAATAGTTGTTCATTTTGGTTTCCATTCGGTCTGGGGGAGAAGAGAACCATGGCCCATGTCGCTGAAATCCTCATTCGGCACAAGGGAGAACTGAATTTCATCAACTTTGAAACTGTTTTGGCTGACCTGAGGGTAGAGGGTATCATTAACCACTTTGAGTACTTTGACATCGTCAACAAGAATACGAGGGAGAAGACCTTGTTTCTACTAGAATGTCTGCCTAGAAGTGGAGACAACGCCTTCTCTATCTTCATTGAAGTTCTACGGCGAAGGAATCATGCTAAATTTGCTGACATATTGGAACAAGGTACTCTCCGAAACATTATAACATCTAAGGATACATCCCATGTGTCCAAATAGTAATTCTTCTATTCTGTCAAAATATTGCACTAAAACAAAGACCGAATCAGTTAATGTAATTTGCAGTGTTTGTGGCAGTGATTTCCAAATACCGGATGCATATCTATTTAATACAACATTAAATGAAATGAACGTTATTACCGTTGAACTTTACATAAATCAACCACCTATAATAAGAGAATTCAATAGATTCGGTGTAAATTTCGATTCTCCATTTGAATAGGGTCAGGAAACTATATGTTCTGAAGAATAAAAAAAACGAACACGTAATTCCAATCATTCGGCGATGTTTTACTACTAGAATGGAATAAGGTGGCTCTGGGACATGGAGCCTCGAGTTCCCGGCCGACTTCAAGAGAGACACGTTCAGCAACTAAAACGAATAAGAGGCATGCTTCCATGGATACACCATCTGTGTGGGTGTCTGATGTCCATGGAGCTGAAGAAGCACATACAGCAAGAAAGAAGCGGCGTACCGAGAGGAATACAGCTCGTGATATCGTGTCGGATGCTACGCAAGGACTGGGGCAAAGGTAATGTTTGTCTGAAAATGGCCTTGCCCTTTTGACTTGTTCATGCAACTACGAGTTATGTTAATAATACTTTTATTTGTCGTCAGAAACCATGAATGAATTGATGTGTCTCGCTTTTAATATCTATATATTTCACATGTAAATTTTGTCATTTCAGTGCCTTGAGGAATCCGACGGAACCGCTGAAACTACTGAGAGACATTCTTTGTGACAGAGTCACGTTTATAGACGTAAGAGACTTCCTCCATCAGCTTTCTGGGGAAGACCTCATTACTTTACCCGAAGAGGAAGACATCAAGAAGAAGGACACGTACTTTGAAAAAATAGACAGTGTATTCTCAATCCTCTTTAAGAAAAAAACGGATTCGACCTACGAGAAGCTATTGAAAGTGCTGGAAGCCATGGAAAGAGACGATATTATCGACAGAGTGGAGGGTGGTTCGGGTATGTGTTCTTCCCCAATGTAATCATCTGCTTCTGAGGTATTGCTCAAATATTTTTGGAAACTGAGTCCTTTCAATGCTCACTGAATAGCTGGATTGCAATGATAATTGATTCATTCCTTAACGAGTCACATGTAATAATCATAGTGTTTTTAAATCATATGGCAAAATGAGAACACTAAAGTATCAAATGGTGAACTCAAACTTTCCTTTAGAATATCAGCCTCTCGAAATCCTTTGAATGCCCGGAATCGCTTGAGCAGTACTATAGTTGTTGGTTGGATTTAATCTACTTCTTCTTCCCTAACAGTGAGAAGTGAGTCGCCGAGGTCACTCACTGACATAATCCAGGCAAAGTGGGATGTCCTGATCGACTGCTTGAAGGTGGATGAAATTACTAGTTACCTGTTAAAATCAGGAGTTCTAACTCAAGGCGATCGAGATGAGATCGCGACGCCACGACGAGAGAAGGAAAGGAGAATTACGCTTTTGGCGAAGCTGCCTGCAAGGATCGAGTCAAGAACATTCGAAAAGTTCCTTGATGCCCTGAAGGCAGTTGGGCAGGATTTCATGTTTAAGGAGCTTCGGTCACAATGTGAGTAAAATTTCACGCAGTGGAATGCAGAAAGCATCGCAGATTACATTCCTGACTCCTACCTTCATTTCATTATAAATAGGGGAAGAGATCGAAAGTCCGACTCCAGAAGAGAAAAGTACGCTGTTGAATCAGTGAGTTTTGAAAATTTCCAATTTGTATTAATCAACGCATCTTTGTATCAAAATATTCATTGTATATATTTATATTTTGACATTTTGGACATTTCATATATTTCGACATTTCCAGACCCTGTTCATATCATTGGATTAACATCATGCACGTTTGACTACTGGTAGATTTCATTTTCAAACTCTGGTCGTTTTCCTTATTTAGTAATATGAGCAAAGTCTGTAAAAAGAAAAGCCATTGAACATTTTCTGAATACCTTTTCACGTTTGATTTGCTTGCTGCAATGCAAAGTTTTTCATTCTTTCATTACTCAATTGCACTCATATGCTCACAAATAGACTCTTTGCTGGCATTTGGAACTACTCCTAACTGCACCGATTTCTGCATTAAAGTAAGAGTCGTTAATGTCTCAATTAGAGGTCATATCTTCATGATTTTACTTCGACTTTTCTATAAATCCATAGACCGAGGCATACGTTATACATAATTGTCTGCATAACATTCATATCAAGTCAAACATGAAGTTATGTTTGCCGCATACATGTTTCTGGTAATTTTTTGGAATTTTCCTGGAGTCCGGAACGTTAGATACCACATTATTAATTGCCTACAAACAACGAAATTGACTGTTAAATCAACTATTTTACTTGGGCAAAAATGTGAGTTTGGGCCATGAGGGAGGATGTTTAAACATAGTGATATGCAATAATTAGCGTTGGAATTAAGGGTTCATTAGAAAATAAATGATTATGCAAAGGAATACAGAGAAGGAACTGAGGGAGTCAAAGAATATTCTGAAAAATAAATGTTCATGTGTTTCGGCATTTCCTAAGCTGTTACAGTATTTCCTCAAATTCATTTAGCCCAAGGGAGCGTTAGAAGTAAGTTCGTTTACTAATGCATGCATATAAATTAATGGAGTTTCGTGCGATGGTTTTTGAACGCAGGGGAAGGGAGACAGACTTTGAAGCAATGGTCCTTCTCTAAGGTCTTATCTTCGAACATAATTGACTACTGTTTAAGTTTAAACTGTGGTTATTGGGGTTTGGGATGTAAGGAGCAGTCTCGTTAATGGAACGGGGCCATCTCGGGCTGCACCCTTGCAACAGGACCCAAGATCCTGGAATATTCAATGGGGTCAGGGTCTGCTTGATGCATAATGGGATACACGCGGATCCCTCATTCCTGCGAACCAAAACATCTCCAAGAGAAGACCTAACAACTGAGGAGGAGAGAAGAGAAGGGGTCCTGGAAGGCAGCGGGTGCAGTGCTGGGTTGGCTGAGTTCGAGCAGAGGAAGTGGGGGACACTACCTGTATAGGGATCTAACTATAGGTTTTTATCCTTTTGGTGTACTCTGCTCTTGTCCTTGTGAGGTGTATTGTGTCTGTGAATTGTGAACGGCCTATCGGGATCGTTAATTAGTGAAACCTTTTTTTAAAATATATAAGTCACCACGGGGTTTTCTTTCTGAGCTTGCCGTGCCGAACCCTCGGCTAAAAACAATCTTCACCACGCAACAGGTTGTTATAATGTCACAAATGACAGAAGTTCCTTTAACCTCTGTGCATGTGCTTTAGCAAATTCCTAGTTTAATTTCCATATAAAACCTTACGTTTCGGAACTTTATAGGATTCCATCAGATGACGATGCATGGGAAATGGCGAAACTACTGGAGGAATCGTGGGACGAATGGGAGGATATAGGGCAACAATTGAAAATCGATGAGAAAGACCTGAAGAGGATCAGGGAAATGAAGAAAGATCAACCGAGGACGACATATCTTCTTCTGCAACATTGGAGAGTTTCTTCATCTAACGATCGACCTTCCACTTTTGAAACGCTCTGCAAAGCATTGCTCAAGCAAGGCATGAAGCCACAAGCAGATGCAATCACTCTTTATGCGATTGCAAAGGAGAAAGCTGGAAGTCCTTTGCTGAAAGAGTTCGTCATACTTTTATTTATGCAGGCTTCAATTTGTTTAACAAAATCCGAATACTTCGAAATCCTCTGATTTATGAGAGCGATTAGAATGGAGATCATCAACAAATGAAAATCACTCAAAAATGAACATTTTGAGCTTAGCTTAAAAGAGGAAATGTTCGGTTCTGGAGAAGAACTGATTAAGAAGTTAGAGTCAATGTGGCCAGAATACAGATTTTACAAACATCGGTTGAGGCAGCAGTCACGATCGTACTGTTTGTTAGCAGCAAAGGCAATACTTTTTTTGCAGTTTCAGAATAGTTTTCACCTGGTGAAGGTTTTTTTTAAGTCTATGCTCTTAATATTTAAATTGACGAAGATGTAACTATGTATTCCTTTAATTACAAACGTTTCTTGTAAACATAATGCAAGTTGTCCTACCTGAAATAGGGAGCCGTCCGATGACGACATTTGGGAGATAGCAGGAAAACTGCAAGAAAAATCGGACGAATGGGAGGACCTTGGGCGACAGTTGGGAGTTAGTGAAGATCAGCTTCGACGGATCAGGGAGATGAAGAAGGGTCCATTAAGGACTCTATATCTTCTCTTGGCGCAGTGGAAGAATTCGTCTTCAAATGAACAACCCACAACGTTCGCATCACTGCACAAAGCTTTGCTGAAACAAGGCATGAAGCCCGAGGCAGATGAAATCATCAATGTCATCTGCAAAAAGAAAAGTGTTGAGGTGAAGGAAGGCAAATGAACGCTTCAGATGTTTTACATATTGATTTATAATCCGACATGTTCTGCTTTGATTAGATTTGTAATTTTGTAAATCGGTCTATCCACGCATAGTGGTCCTAGGAGTTTAGCTTAAAATTTTTCGAAATGTGCTAATACAGTATATCTTTCGCTTAGCTAGTTCATCAGCTATTTTCCCATAATACGTGAATAAAAGAGAACGAAGGAATGAAGGAATTAATCTAAAAAATTAACAAGAAATGAAGGGGTTAGTCATGATTTTGACATATTATTCATGCCATTCTCATGATACTGAAAAATGTGATTAAAATACAAAACTGGAAAGACTGAATTGGACCACTGGATCAGATGCCACCGCTGGATCAGATGCGCTTCCATGCATACTGATAAATGCAAATCAGCTCAGGTGTGAATAGAAGATGTCAATTGCTCACATGTGAATTATGTCATTTAAATAAAATTGATATATATGTACCGATTTCTAGTTTCAAAATAAATTTTCAGAACATGTCACATCCGACGCCGTCAAGAACAAGGTTAAGTTTCTTTTTCAAATGTTGCAATTTTTTGAGAGACTTATCCTAATTCCAGGCTTTCATTTAAATAATGAACATGAAGCTGAATCACTAGGGTCCAATCGATGAGAGATATGTGAACATTAGAGCAGGTGACTTTAACATGTGGGTTCACGCAGTGGGACGTTTGACACTTTCTTTGCGCACAATTACATCTCTAAAAAAAAGAGAGAGTGCAAGGCTTAGGAAAGTGGAATTACAGTCATTACCCAAAGCAAATCGTTACAGCCTTTACATAATGTTTCTACTTCCATAACATCGTTAAATGTATTTTTACACTAAACATATTACTCAAGATGTAACGTACGACACCCATGGTCTGACCCAAATACCTTTAATGATAAAATCGATTCAGCCTTTTAATCTGGTGGCCTTTAATCTTCACATTGATATTGAACACCCGGATGCTGTATTTCCCCCCAAAACAATTTTTCACGAAATATTTCATCCTTAGTGCATCCTGGCAATTCCTTTCAGTCAAGCTTGAAGTTCATCGGAGTTGAACTATACCTTATGATGATGAACGAATCAAAAGCCAATTTAATTATTAAATTTAGACTTTGGAAGCCGTCGCAAACGGGTCAGCTGTGCGAGGTCTCATGGATACCATCGTATAATAAACCTTGATTAGCTCCTCTTAAGAAAGTAGCCATTGATGCACATGGCATTTTCTATGCATATATTAACCGAGTTTTTGCAGCAAAATTCATGGCCTCACGAACTGAGGGTTTCGAAAAGCTCGCCATGATGAAATTGAGTCAAGTTGCCGTTCTTTATGATTGATAGAAAATATGGAAAAGCCAGTGCGATTGGGACTATGAATCCAAGTCGCTTGTCGCTAATTATTTGCTTATTGACACTTTCGAGCTCGTTCGAACAATGCATCCATTTCTTTCTCATGAAATGAACAGGCAAACGACAAAGTTTTTTTTTATAGATTGCTTCATTGTCTACTAATACTCATTTTTCAATCCCAGTGTGTCTCGTATGCAATTCCATGCGATTTTGCCTGATGATGAATCATCATGCAAATTTGGGACATGGGCATGGGATTTGGAGCTTGGAAGGATGCGAGGCAGCCCATGAGAGGAGTCTTCGACATGTGAGCATTGCTTGGTAATCGATGGGAAAGTCTCACGTGAGGAAAACCCGATATTTCTTATATTTCCGGTGTGCCATGCCTCAAGTTCACGAAGTGAGCTGCAACGTGATATTTTTGATTGAAATATGCGCTGAGAGTTTCAGTTGCTCCCGACCTGAAACTATTTTTACCTGAACGAAGCGTCAACCGTTAAAGAAAATCAATGGTTCCGATCAGGAAGACTTGGCTTCTTCATTTAGGTGGGCGTTACGGCAAATAATAGTTTTTTTTTTCCCCGAGCACGATGAGAGAGAGTTCGTGAGGTTAACAAGCCTGTGTCGCGTAGCAACAGTTACACTGAGAAAATACATTTTCAATTTGTTTAGATTATGTATATTTCATTCAAAACATTTGCATTCTAGAATTACTCATCCTGAAAACATGTTCTGCATCTAAAAATAAAAAGTATAATGGGCGATGTAAATAATTTTTCTTAGCAATGAAACAGCCATTTTGCACTTCTGTCTACTAATCTGTATTCAACATACAATGAGCACAATCCTGATCGCCAACTAGGCCAAACGACTAATGTGGGTGCGTGAATTTGGGTGCATGAGACAGCTCTACTGGCCGAATGATTCGAGATATGAACTTAGGACCATCTAATAAATATTCATGAGCATCCGAAGATGTGCCTTTGAGAAGTAAATATAATGATTGGCCACAGGAAAGGGCTGCAACTTTCAGGAAAAATTAGCATTCATGTTTTATCTCGCCATCTCATGGATGAACAAGGAGACAAGAGTTGGCGCCGGACTCGCTAGGGGACGGTCGCATCGCTCAACACTGTTCCGCCCGCATGATGCCTTCAATAATGTCTGGATGCTATTCGTGAACAATGTGAACATCTGTGGTAGTGAACAATGATATTCAAACCCTTGCTTCTCCACACACATCGTGCCTCTCTGAATTATTTAATATTTTCAATGTATTTATTAATGTGTGCAAATATATTTTGAAACACCCTGTATAGCGTGCGCGATAATGGCCGCCTGCTAGGCCTAGCGACAAGTGTGTGTTTATGCGTGTGTGTGCGCGCTCTACGAACACAAACGTTTCGAGATATGAACTGGGGGCTACGTAAAGGTTGTTCCTTATCGTCCGAAGATTTGCCGTTGTGAAATGAACTTTTCCGTTCGACGCCATCTTCCAAGCGAGAACGGACGGCGGAAGAATCTTCGTTTGAGGCTTGGTCATTGAGTTTCCGCGTCGACTTACGATTTGTGCGGTGGCGCAAGAGATGGGAGTCGAATTGTGACAACTTTCCCAGTACCTTTCTCAAAAATGGTGCATTATTTTTGTGCATCTCAGTCGAATCAGTAGATAGCATACAAATCAATGAATTTATATTAAATGGGAAGAAATTCCGAATCAGGTCTGGCGAGTCGTGTGAGTCACGCATGAAATGATTACCAGCCATCTTTTCATTGGCTGCCAACACTGTCGTCTTGCTTTCGCGAGACCAGGATTTCCATATATTGGCAAAGAGTCTATCTCAATATCGGATAGGAGCGTTTTTAATCTCGATATTAAATAAGTTGAGATCTCGCCGATATTTTATGGAATGCTGCAGCAATCAGATGGCAAGACGAACTTTGCCTAAATTATTCCCCTGTATTTTCGAATACAAACTTTACATTTTCTTAGGGATGGTACTTTTAAAATCATTTTTCAAAATTTTACATGGATTGAACAAAATGGTATGTGGCAGTTTTCGTTATTGACACATAAATGCTACTACATATGTGTTCATGTCTGATTTTAAATCGTCTCATGTCCCATTGCTGTTAGTTTGTCAACATTCCTGAGAAGCCTTTAAGACAATATTACGTTCCCCAGAGAAATACTTTCGTGCAATTTTGCAAAATATGATATGAATACCGTTATACTGTGTACATCTGTACATGACGGTTAGGATTTGAAGGTCACTCGCTGATCAAGGGCCAATGAGCTTCGCCGATAGTGCAGAAAGTCGACAGCAAGATAAGAGCACCCAGCCTTATGAAGACCTTATCAGTAGGGTGACGGAATTCTCCCATTCATCCGCCGAAGCCATAGCACACTCAGTTGTTGCTGCTCGAGGGTTTGTGGGACTGTGCGTTCACACGTTTAGTATATATAATCATTTATTCTTGTATAGTGTCATTTAAATAACTCCTTATTTTGAGGTAAGACTTCCGCTTTTCTGAGTTCCATCATTATGTGTCACAGCGTCTCTGCACAGGTTTTGTAGCTCGCATTTAATAGGGAGTGTTTACGCGCTGTCTTCCCAGAGTCTATATATGAAAGGAATGAAGAAAACTCCTTTATTTTTACAGTTTTGGCGGATGGACTGATAGCGTTTTCCAGGAATCATGGCTGTGCATGGGCAGGCAGTATCAGACGTGTTGTTTGCTCATCTGAAAGAATTTCAACTGTTTGCGAACATTGGAGAAATTCTTTTAGGCTTGAGGAAGAAGAATGTTATAGAGGACGATGAATACTTGGAGGTCATCGATGAGAGCAAGAAGAAGCAAGCCCGTTTCCTCATAGAAAAGATACCTAGGGGAGGGGATAACGCCTTCAAGGCGTTATTGGAGTCTATTTTTGAGAAAGACAAGCCTTTTGCAGAGAAATTATTGAAGTCTCTTGAGCAGCATGAAAGTACTTCCGCCAGTTCTTTCGCCAGAAAACTTCGAAAGGGTAAGTAAATTCATCCGTCATCGATGAAAATATTGTTTTACTTGAACTTTCTGAAGGACCATGTTCAATATGTGGGTGTGAAGTACAGGATGTTTTCCAGAACTAACAAGATTTGAAGCAGCTTTAATAATAATAAAATATTCATCGATGGGCATGACGCTTTTAGATGTGTGAGATATTGTAGACATGCAAACCCATTTTTTTTTTTTTTAAAGATTTTCTGCAGAGTTCACCGTCTCCAATGGCACAATATATTGGCCCCATGCAATACCAACATTGGGTGCGTTTGTCCAATGTTGGTCCTGCATTAGGTCAATATTTTGAATTATATGGGTTTCACATGACTCCTACCACCTTTCAAATTAGTTTTGGACCCAATTTCGGGTTTGATACATCATTCTAAAGCCCTTGATTTCTTGTTAGATTTCATTTTCACATTTTAAAAATGGTGACATTTGATCCTGCAGCGGTCAACCTGAGTTAATGCACTGGCGCCACATTTGCAGACAATATAAGGGCTTTGAGACTATTGTTCTGCACCAATTTTCAACACTCAACTGTGCATCAAAGCTCACATTTCTTCTCAGTTGTACTGAGAAGTGTACGTCATTCTCATCACCCGTGATTCCCTCAGTACGTCATTTTCTCATCACTGCCTCTCACCCCCCATTGTTCTTTCACCTAAATACACTTTTACCCGTGACTCTCGACAGCAAGTCTCTCATGAGAAGTGGCTGCATTAAGAAGTAGTCGTAGAAATTTTAGCCTAATATGTATGTTTTGAATCAACTGCCTCCCGACATTTGGAGTAGGAATATATATTCGAGATGGTCCAAAAAATATAACCTTAAAATATAAAATTTTTATGAGGCTCCGATTAAGCCCATTTTGGCTTTTCACTGAGAACGAAAAACGATTGAATGAGAATTCAGACGATTTTGAACATTTTGGCTAGGGGTTATTCCTTTACGTGTTAATGTGTACAACTTTTCACGAAAAGTCCCATTGAAGGCATGCTTCCCTGAGATGGAAAGAAGGAGATAGTGTGTTTGAGTGTGTGTGTGTTTGTGTGCGTGTGTGTGTGTGTGTGCGTGTGTTTGTGTGCGTGTGTGTGTATGTGTTTGTGTGCGTGATTGTGTCTACAGGGGGAGACAACTTCCATTTTTGGAAATACTTGAGATCTTCATTTTTTAAATACTATCTTCATCTTTGAACTGAGCTACCAAAAGTTGAAGCGTTGTCCCAACCTTCGACATGGGGAAATCTGCCTAAAAAATTCAGGAAATCAAATTTTGCAATTATCTATTTAAAATCACACCCAAGGAGATACATACTTTGAGTTCACTTTTCAAAGTCTTTCACTCTAGCTCTTAATGTTTTTAGTCCGATCATTCATATACAAGTTAGCAGTAATATGGTCGTCTCCAATTTTCTATTCAACCCAAAATGTATGTTGTCCTTATATTGAAAATGACTTGACAGAATGCTCTGGAACTTCTAGCCAGGCATACCACCAATCTCGCGTAAACGGAAGTTAGTACTTTAACACATTGGCTGCCACACATAAAAATGCAAAACTCCACCTATGTGCTGCGGTTGGACGGAAGGAATGACTCCATGAAATATGAAATTGGAGTGCAATCCACTTAGTCACGAAACCTTTCACGACGTGCCAATGGGATGCATTGTCCATGCAAGAGAAATATGTCTGGGGATCACCGGTGGTACCTGTGACTTGGCTTTGTGCAACTATTCTGTATCGCCTTTGATCCTCATGGCAGCAGATGAGTTGAAAACCTTCGCAAAATGGTAAAATGCAGATGTCGTAGGTTGTAAGGCAAGGAGTTTCTCTGGAAAGCTGAAGTGCTTCATTATCGTATACCTACCATTGCAACTATACAGTACCCATGCCAGGCACAAGTGATACGTTGATTAAATGCCATTTTTTTAGATTTGAAGTGGGCAAATGCAGAAGGTGAAGAATCTGAAGAGGAGTTGCCTCCCAACGAAACAAGTTCAACTTCAAAAGCTCCAAAGAAGAGGCTTAAAAAGGATGCTGCATCGGAGGGAGCATCTAATTCCAGGGCGAAAGACGGACCACCTCCAAGAAAGAGGCGTGCAAAGAGGGATGACGCTTCTGTGAGCAAGCCAAATGATTCACGGAGCAGTGGGAAACGGTAAGATAATCTGTAGAAAATGGCTATACTATTGTCAAGAGACTCCATAGACAAATTTGTCGAAATTTGGTTTTGACTATCCAAATATCTGCATAATGCGTAATGAAAGTATCACGTTCTCTCCTTTTATACTTTCATTTTGAATGTCCATCTTTTCATTATAGCGATTCCATTGCTTCGGTGGGACGGATGAAAGGACTAAGAAAGATTCTATCAGACAGCAACACGATAATTGATATGGACGACTTCCTACAGGAACTTAGTCAAGAAGAGCTCATCGCACTGCCTCAGGAACAGGACATTAGGAGGAAGGACAATTATTCAGATAAAATGAATGAAATATTTGGTATTCTTCACAGAAAGAAGAATCCAAAGACGACATGTGAGAAATTGCTCCATGTGCTTCAAGCCATGGAGAGGGATGACATTATTGATAGGTGGGATGATGAAGCTTGAATGTATTCTTCAAGAGTGTGAGAGAGACTCGATTGTGTTAAATGCATTTTTCATAAGTGACTCAAAAACAATTTTCATTGCCCAAAGATATTCCTTCTTTCTTAAATGGATCATTGGTATTATTGCATTTTGCATACTCAGTTTCATACATTTCGGCATGAAACGTTTTCAGAAAACATGGAATATAACTCATAAAAAATATATGCAGAACATGTTTCAGCTGTGCCACATTCGGTGTTTAAGTTAAATTTCCATTATCGACTGAAATCGTTTAGAAAGAATACTTAATGTCAGTTGGAAAAGGTATTCACTATTCTCGTCTAATCTGCTCCTGTTCACTTGTTGCCATAAATCAGGGTTAAACACAGAAAGTTGAAAATTATGGGAGAAGGGAAGGTCAAGATGTGAGGTGTGCAATCCTGAAACTAAACATATTAAATATCCTGCATGACTGACGTGCTCATCATCACTTCACCATATCGACCTTCATCCGAATGACACTTTCTCAACAGTTAGAGTTTCTTTGTAACCTTGTCATTTCCCTTCACAATGTCATGTCGTAAGCTGGATTATTGCATTAATTATGAAGTGTTGACCATGTCTCGAAAACCGCGTTTCGAAAGTCCTGATGTTCCTTGGCCCTCAGGATGATGCTGCATGGACCAGTTTGTGCCTCTTTCATGGCCTCTGCCTTATGGACATTCAATTAATGCAAACAGGACGTCACGACAACAGCATCCCATCACACCACTGAACATCTATAATTAGCAAAAGTTTATGCTAAAGCCTAGATTTTATAAGGAAAGTACCAGTGTTGCAATTGATACAATGCTGATGAAAGGTTAAATTGACGACAAAATAACGTGAGTCATTTCAATATTAAATATTTATCATGGCAAAACTCAATATTGGTCCTTTGTCAGTGATAAAGGATGCCTTTCACCGTATGGGGCTAAATGGGGTGCCTGCAAGAAACGTCGCAACATGAATCAATATACGAGGGGCGTGAGAAAAGTTATTGGCTTGACAATGAAAGACTGAGTGAATATGAATATCATTCCAATATTTTTCAACATAATCTCCTTTAACATCAATGCATTTCATCCAACGTTTCTCAAGCAACTGCAGGCCCGTTTTAAAAAATGTTTCTGGAAAGCCTGCTAAAACTCCTTCAACAGCACACTTAACTGCATCATCTGACCCATGGACCTTTCCACGCAAATGTTTTTTTTCATATTTGGAAAGAGATGAAAGTCTGAGGGGGCCAGATCATGAGATTAAGGAGGGTGAGGGAGCACTTCGAACCCATAATTCTTTGCAGCGGTCGCTGCAACTCTTGACACGTGAGGAGGCTCGTTGTCCTGGAGAAGCAGAACACCTCGACTGAGTTTCCCCCGTCGTTTCTCCTTGATAGATTCCTTCAATTTGTGCAGAAGGTTAGCATAATACTCCCGGGTTATTGTTCTTCCATTTTCCAGGAAATCTACTAAGAGCACCCCGGTTGCGTCTCAAAACTCACCATGATCTTTCCAACAGACCGTGTTGTCTTGAATTTTCGAGGTTGGGGAGAATCACTGTCTCCACTGCAGAGATTGTCGTTTGTTCTCGGGGTCAAAATGTGTAACCCAAGTTTCATCCTGTGTCACCAAGCGCCCCAATAAATCTTCCGGATCGGTTCTGAATTGGTCCACAAGTGTCTCTGATATCGTCACTCTTCCTGCTTTCTGTTCTGGAGTGAGCATTCGGGGAACCCAACGTGCAGAGACCTTGTGCAGGCGTAGATGCTGGTGAAAAATTGTTTCCACGCTGTCAGTGCTGATCCCGACTTTGTCTGCAAGGAACCTGACTGTCAGTCTTCTGTCGCTCATCACCAGCTTTTCCACACTCTCAATTGTTTTCTCGGCCACAGGAGTGTTTGATCTCCCGGAACGAGGATCATCTTCAAGGCTTTCGCGCCCATTCTTAAAAAGAGCTGCCCATATTTTACTGTTGAATATGACGGACCTTTATCACCTAAAGGTCCGTGCATGTCTGCAAAAATTTCCTTTGGCCTTAGACCTTAAAAAAAAATACTTGATCACTGCTCGTTGCTCAAAATCACCCATCTTTCCTGTCGGAACACAATCATCACACTTCACTGCACTGCACAGGCCTAAGATGAGCAATGGCAACTGTTGATAGGTACAAGGAGTTAAAGAAAAATGTGGAATTTGGAAATGGAAAGGTGACACTTGGCACACGTATGAGTGACATGGTATTCTTGAGTTGAGGGAGTATTCAGCTTTCATGGTGCATGTACTCCCGGCATTGCTTTTGGGTGCGTCGGCTTTTCCAAACATGTTTTTTCACCAGCAAAAAGGGCAAACGAATAAGGTTGAAACTTTGCGGACATGCAGTTCTCTGAGGATTGATTTCGGTAAAACAAAAAATGTACTTATCGATTAAAACGCTTCAAGGCACATATATTGCAAAGGGCGTATTTTCTCGAATTTCTGATCCAGCAAAATAGAGGGCGCTAGAAAGTTTAAACTTGCCAAAGAAGATCCTGATGTATTGCTGAGTAAATAAAAAATTATACTTTCATTATATTTAGAAGATCGTGAGTAGCTGACACGTAAGACGCATGCTGAGTTGAGGGAAAATTATATTTTGGCGATACATGCCATAGTGGTACAACTTTTCGGGGAACATATTTTCAAATAGTTCTCTTTGCTTCAATCAAAAGGAGACACATGGAAAACTGAAACTTAGCGCTATAACGTATAAGGCTCAAACTGGGTGGCATGGAGTTCTCTGAGTCCATATTACAGAAGAAAAACCAATTTCGTTAAAACCCATCAGGGCACTTTTTTTTAAGTCCCATTTTTCTGATTTTTTTTTTTTGATCCAACGAAACAGAGACAGGAAATTTAAACTTCCCTCAGAAGTACCTATTTGATGGCTGAGTACAGGAAAAATCCTACATTTAAAATATGTCCCATTAGCGTATATTATAAGAGGGAAGTATTTCAAAATGTATTCTCTACCCTTACAAAAAGGGACACAAGAAAAGATTTCAAGTTAGGCACACTAGAAATAATGGAAGTAAGGACTTTGATAAAAATTGAGAATTTCGTTCCCATATGTCACGTATATCAATGGTGACTTTAAATGCACTTTAAATACGTGTTTGCCATTTCGCCAAGAATAAATGAGTTAAGCACTATCGAAGGTAATGGAGCGCCGAAGACGCGACCATAGCCATAAAGTAAGAAATATCACCGTTGAAGTCATATTTCCATGGTGCCAGCAGACTGGCAGATGAGACTAAGAATGAAGGTATTAAAGCAATAACCTGATCTCTTGCTTAAAAGTCAATGGTGCCATCAATCTTACAAGTCGATGGGCAGTGTCCTCAAGAGGCCTATGGTTTAGTAAGACATGCAGACAGCAACTGGTGGTGCGAACAGAACTGTCCACAATCATGTATGCACTGTCGGATCCGTTAAACGACCACTCGTGCAAAAACCCAGCTGGATATAGACGTGGGTTCTATTCTATTTGTCTAATATAGGAGATATTGCAACTCAAATATTCATATGTTTGTCTTGCTCCTTCACTTGAATATGAAGTCTGTTGGATCTGCTGTATCCAATGTCTTCGCAGAAGTCCCAAAGAAACAGACGTATTTTTGAAAACCGGCCACCGCCAGTCCATCTTCAATACTCGCTATTATTTTTGGGTTGTGGAGGCAGCAGTTTCCGGAGAATGGCTCAGGTCCTCCGCCAATTCAGCAAGTTCTTCTGGGTATATACCAAGACGAGGCCATGCCAGGTCTTCAGTATATTCCTACCACCTAGTCCTTGGTCTGCCCCTTGGTCTCTTTCCCTTTGGCTTAGCAAGAAGGATTTGCCTTACAAGTCTTTTTGGTGGCATCCTGACTATGCGCCCGTACCATCGTAATTTTAATCTCTCAATTTGGAGAAGAAGAGGTTCACACCCGAGTGTTTCCCGGATTTCTGGGTTCCGAAACCTGTCGAATCTCGTTGAATCAGAAACCCTTCGTAAGAATCTCATCTCGGCCCCTTGTATCCGCGATCGCACTCTTTCGGTCATTACCCAACACTGATGACCATAGGTGAGGATAGGAGCGTAGATTGACTTGAAGACAGAGACCTTTGCCTTTGGGCCAAGTTCCTTCCTCATAAATTAAGACCGGTTTAGCTCACGCATTACTGTGCTTGCTTGACCGATCCGTGTGTCTAGTTGCACATTTCACCTATCGTCTCTCGTGAATGCTACCACGAGATATCTTAACTTCTCCACCTGCCTCAATGGGACTCCACTGACGTCGAGATTGCATTGAGTAGGCTGTCTAGAGAGGACAAAATAATCGATTTTGGCCACGCTGATCTTCATTCCAACCTTATCGCATGCGGCTGCGAACCTGTCTAGTGCTTGGTGGAGGCCACCGGCCACCGCTTCATGAAATTTTCAAGTACGCTTTATCGAGACGGCCTTAGCCGACGAAGACCGCGGAGTTCATTTGTGTTGCTATATGGGGGTCCAGGGTAGAAGATGTAGAAAAATCCAACGTTTCCTGAAGTGAATATTCATTTTCTGGACTCCTATTTGCTGTTACATGAGTGAATGAAATTTAAATTGGAAAAATCAACGAAAATTTAAGGTAAAAGTCCACACTCAGCATGCCCACCACTGTTTAGCTTTGATTTCAGGCGATTTATATTATTTTTCGTTCCGCTCAATTAACCACCAATTACAGTATTAAACAAGAAATAAAAATAAAATGAAGCAAACATTGGAAGTACTCAAACTCACCTCATGTCATTTCTTACACAATGACAACATAAAATGCAAAGGACTGTAGTTTGTACTATTTCAGAATCATAAGCAGTTGAAATGAGGCGCCCATTGCTGAAAAATATATAGCAAGAAAATATAACCCAAACAACATGAAAGGAACTCCCGTTCACTCCCGTATGCTTCCATCGTGACTGGCAGTGAAAGTGAAGGCAGACCGTGTGTCAGCTACTTCCGCGATGGCTCATGACTTTCAAGTGCTTTCCTGCGGCCGGGGGCATCGGATGAGGCAACAATTTTCTCTTACAGGTGCATGCACGGCTGTCTAAGCCGGAACTGACGGTACAAAGAAGGGGAGGAAGTGTTCACTGTTCAGGGTGAATATCGGGTTTCTGAATCTGCAGTGGCGTGTGAGTTCATAATGTCGCTGTTTTTGGCCTGAAGAAGATGATTTTCTTCTTCTTCATTATGTCTTGGTGTTCATCACATTGATCAAAAACATTGAGTTTGTAACCGTAAACATCCGAAAATTGAGAACACTTATACAATGAAACGGTGAAAATTCTCGTAATGTATTTCCCTTTCATTTAATTGGAGTAGTAAGGATCTATATTACGGCTTTAAGTAACCCTCCATGACGGTTAATTTTCTCATTGTAAGCGAAGAAGGGATGAAACCAAAGTTACCAAGACAGAGGAGGAGTGGTCTCTATTTTTGTTGCAATCTCGGTTTGCGGTGGAAGAATTTCCGCTTTTCGTAGCGACCATACTGTCCACCACTCTTAACTACTTCGCATCCTTCTTTACCAAGATGAAAACTGTGACACAGCTCTCTTTCTTGACTGTCTACCAAACACGACCCAGCAATCGTTATACGAATAAACAACCCTGCTGTTTATTCTGAACGAAGCGTCTACCCTGATGACGCTCCTGAGCAGTACATGATGAAATCCTGGTGTCCCGGTTGCTCGGATATCTCCAGTCCCCTCTTCAGGTTTAGAGTCCTTCTCGCAGCACTTTAAACATTCGGAAGAAGCGTACAGGTATACCATAGCCTTGCCCGATTTTGAAAGTCATCGTGTCACGTACCGAAAAGTGACGAGATTACAGACTGACTTGGAACATAGAACCGTTTTATGCACGTGCGAACACGATGCGATAATTCCTATCCTATGGAATAGGTCCGCCGCGTAAGTTTGATTTCACGAAATAGAGGGATAGCCTGCGTTCTCCGACCCTATATACCATCGTAAAACCCGTATCTGTCCGATAACACGAAAAGGCCATGGGGGCGACATTATATCTCTCCAGATAGAGACCAGAGAGAGAAAAGAATACCTCTGAATATCATATAAGGATTGGCATACTGTAGATCTGTTCGCCCTGCATCGCTCCGCGTCCGAATCGCTCCTTCATCAACGAATTCAGGTGAACCCTCTTCTCATTTTTTCTCATTCTCTTTAAAGGCGTGAGTAACCTGCTCTTCCTAATCACTACGATCGTTCATACCTTTCTAACGCGTAATGCATGTTCGGAAACCCCTGTCTTGATTAAATTACCTTTCGGATGACACAACGCTAGACGTATGCAAAATCACATAATGCAACCCACATCATGTGAATTGCCTTTCCACTATTCTTGAAATTCGCGAAATGTCATAGGATGTAAAGTAATAGATTTTATTCAATTCGCAGGATGTTACTAGGAAGAAATACAACGACATGATATCTTCGACAATTAATATGGATTATGGAAAGTTTGGCAAGGAGGGAATACAAAATCCCATTTATGCCATGCATGATTCAAATACGTTGCCATGCTGCTACTTAAAAAACCTTAATTGAAACTTGTTGAGGCTACGCTCTGTCCATGTTCTTGAGCATTGGCAACATTTCCTAGTGCAATACGGTTGGTGTGGGGGTTATCTATAAAGTTTACACAGACGTTGAAACCTTGCAAGGAAGGCATTTTGCATTCAGCTGCCAAGTCTGTCGTTCAAATAAAGAAACTTCATGGAAAGAAGGTTCAATCTGGCAACATGAAGACATCTGCGAGCAATTTATGAACCTGATTCAGCTCGGACATACAAAAATGACTTGGGCTAGGCCTACAAGGGCAAGTTGACAGTTCCTATGAATTCCCCGTCAAATGCACGAGTAACGATAGATAAGAACGGAAAGACCGAAATCGGAGATAAGGCTACGTGACACACGATGCATGCGGTTTTCACGTTTACTTTTCATGGGCGACCAAATAGTCAGCGAAAGACCACGTTACAATGTCTTATTCGCGAAATATGAGCATCTGGCAAATACGTTCACATAGGGAATTCACCTAGGGTATGTGAAGTTCACGTGAGGCGTTAAAACCATCAACATCTTCCCTTGTTTCTACTTTGGCAGAATAAGTTGCCTTTTTATTTCAGGGTTTCGATTAATTCCCGTTTATTTAAAATTTTATCATCATGACCTTTCAAAAACAAATAACAAACAAAATAAGTTATTATGTAAATACGGGCCCAATGTGCTATCTCTGGCTTGAAATACACCCAGAAACATCGGTCGTTAGGCATTTTGAAACTGGAATTCTGTGCGTTTTACTAGTGACTCATTATTATCCTATATTCATGGAAAAAGCAACCTTTACGCGAGAACACGTTCACCTATTATGTACGGCAGTATCTCCGTGAAAAAAATTTCATCTGTAAGCATTCACTCAAGTGAATAATTCCAGTCTAATGGGCTACTGGATATGGTCTTGAATACCATACCCATTCAAAAGAACGATAGATCTTAATTTAGGAAAAGTAGGATTAGATCATATTTTGTTTGAAATTGGACATATATTATTTGATATGAGGATCATTTTGGCCCAAAAACAAATATCAGGCACGTACATTGGAAAAGAGTCGGTGTCATATCTAGCGATTGCTGAAAATTACTCTCCATGTGCCTGACCCATAATCCTTGTGGATGACTCTCCTCTTCGTCCGCAGGGTGAATCAGGGGCCGCACCCCTTCCACTGAGAACGTCAGCCAGCGCTCCATCGTTGAGACACACCGATTTGTCCCGTACATCATCATCAGCGGTGCGGTCCAGCCGTCCGTCCTTCTCATGAAGTCGGCTGCCCCGCGAACGCCGAATCCTACGCGATTCAACCATGGAACGCCATCCTCGACCAAGCCGTCGACTCCCAGCCAGAGCCAGAAGAGTGAAAACCAAGGGAGATCTCTGGCAACGCCTAAAACACTCCGAATGAAGGCTCCTCTCAAAGAGCGTCCTAAGAATCCTCCCCCACCCATTCCGAATTCTCCATCGAGAAGTGGCTCTCCTTTTCCGCCGAGTCCCGCCACAAAGAGGCCTCCTAATGGCTTGGTGAGGTTGTCGCACGGATCTAATAAGTATTTCTCAAAATGCTCCAAGATTTGTAGAGGTTTTCAGGATTGCTAGTAATTCCCTGTATGCATTAATATAGCTTTATCGAATTTCTGAACGCTGACACTGCGCATATTAGCGGGGGCCGTTTCTTTACTGTGTGTGACATCATCAAACTTAAAAGTGGACTGGGAGGTAAGGAGAACGTTCCAAAATTCCTGGGATTGAAATTGCTGAAATGAAAAATTTCTTAAAACCGCGGTAGGGATCGGAAACGGTTGGCACTCAAAATCTGTTGAAGTTGTACCCTATTTGGCGTACATCATCTTAATTACCCCATTTCGACTTCCATTTGCGCTTGTCAGATAATGCATGAAATTAAAGAGGCATGGAGACGAAAATAGGCGCATATTTTCTTTAGGGGAACGGAACCTCCCTCTGCACGCAAGCGTTTTCTCACCCTTATAGGACGCTCATCGTGTATCGTCGTTCTACTGCTCCATGACGCAAAACAAGAGGCTGAATCGTTTACACTGAGCAGTGGAGTGGGTCCGTTCCTTATTTGTACAGATGGCATTTATAAATAGAACAATTCCAAAAACATAAACACTTTCAACTTTTTTAAAAGGGGCGTGTCATGTTTCCAACCCGTTTCGACGACTTATTTATTATATGTATGGCAACCCTCTTGTGCAACCATGGTGAAAGACAGATGGTGATGAATTGCATCAGCAAGGCAGAAACCCCACGGTATATACGGTCCTTCAAAGCATGCTTTTTTTTTTCTTACAACAGAAGCTGCAGCCGCTCTCTCTTACTTCTCCAGCTGGAAAATCTCTCACTGGGAAAACCAATCGGAGTCCGGAAGGTAAACCATTTCATCTTCATTATGATTAAATGCTCGGAATGCAACAAAATACGGTTCTCCTTTGTTTGCCCATGCACCCTTGCAACGCATTGGATTCATTTCATGTTTTTCACTTAGTGTCAGACTTCGAAGCAAAGTTCGACTTCCCATCCGTATCGGACGTAACACCCCCAGAACCCCCATCCATCCTCAAAAAGACGTATACCAGTCAAAATCCAACCGGTGAGTGCGAAGTCATTTTTAATCCGAACTCGTTAAATCGTGCTTCTACCGCTTGAGCGATTTTCTCGTTCCCATTTTCCCTTGCAGGGCCGAAAAGACGCCCCGCCCCACCGCCTCCTCCAGGAGCGAGTCCCGCCGCGCATCCCTCAGAAGCGCGCAGGAGGTTATTCCGCGAAAGCGTCATTTAGTTTGCGTCGTCGAACGGCGAATCGTGCGGACGGCATATCCTGTGATAGCATCGTCTCCAAAGTGACTCGTTTGCATGGGGGGCGAAAACCATTTCTAAGTGGAGGGTGAAAGTGATTATATCTCCTTTTCTCAGTAAAAAAAAAGGTTATTTTCAGCCATGAATAAATTCATATATAAATGGAAAGTGACTGGCATCTCCTTCCTCGCTTTCGCATTAGATCTACAAATGTGATATTTCTGAGTGTGAAAGGAAGGCAGTACCGAAGGTACCGAAGAAACCTGATTTGCTTGAAAAATTCCCGAGAGGAACTGGTGCTGCGGAACCACGGCTTCTTAATCGATGCATGGAATACAAACTCTTTGGCTTAAGAACTGTCACCCCGTGAGTGGAAACTCGTGATTTTCTTGGAGAAAATTTAATTTTCGATCCAGGCTGATGAGGTTCTTAATTCTTGGTCGACGCATCGATTGGAATCACCCAACAGTAAAGTGACGGAGAAAGGGCGCTGGTCTGGAGTTGTCACCGACGCCATGTGACCTTCCTTTCCCTCGGAAAAATAAAGGGAAATAAAATTAGACATGCCTGCATATATTATTTTATTTCCTAACGGGACCCGAGCGACGTGCAAACATGGATCACGAGGCGATACGGAATGCAGCGTAGAGGAAGAAAAAAATATTCCGACATTCGCCACGCTGAAGGCGGAGGTCACTATTTTTGCATTTAGCAAATAACAAATTTATGTTTAACGATTTTTTTCCTGTTGAAATGGGTTCAAATTCAAGGGACGCTTTTTAATTTGCTATTTAGCCACTCTGAATCCATCTCATTTTCCATCGGACGAGGGGATTTTTAAACATCCTTAAAGTCGCGGTCCGAGAGATTACATTAACAATATTTACTACTATATATACTATATTTATCGACCTCGATCAAGTCACGAACTGACTTCTTGATCGAGGACGTTCCTGACGTTCAGGAATTCGAAGAGTGCTTGTGCTCTTCGATGTTCGTATGATGTTGACCCTTTCCAGCACAGTTGGACCATACGGACCCATTGGTTTTATTAGGGGACAGGCGCTTACATTTTGCCTGTTTCTCCCATTTGTATTATAACTTGTATAAAATGCTGCCAAACCGTGCTTACTCATACAATCAATAACGCCCGCAGCCGCCAATATTAAACGCCTTTCCTCTTCTTTTGCTGCAAATTCGTTTGCCCTCGCTGCTTCTAAATTACAATTTTTTTTTCCCAGCTGGCATTCCGTTATCAACTGCGTAGAAGGTATCGCGTGAAGAGCAAATATGTATCCATGCCATTCAACTCACATTTTTAGACATGCACATACTAAATCGCTGCTCCGTCTCCTCGGGTCGGAAATAAAAAAAAAGTCTCAAAACTTCTCCTACTCACTTCGTCGTTATGTTCCTCTGACTCAATTTCCAATCTCAGGAATTATATGATACTAGCGAGTTTGTTTGCCCTTCGGGCAAACAAACTCGATGTGGTCGAGCCTTCGGCTCTCCATTACCTTGGATAGCGATTAATTCATTTATTCTTTGCGAAATGGCAAACACTTATTTCAAGTACTTCCCATTGGAATACGTGACATATGGGGACGAAAGCCTTCATTTTCATCAAAATCATTACTTCTATGACTTCCAGAGCATAACTTGAAATCTTTTCATGTGTCCCTTTTTGTAAGGGTGGAGAATACATCATGCAATACTTCCCTCCTATAATCTAGCTCATGAGGCATATTTAAAATGTAGGATTTTTCCCGTACTCAGCCATAAAACAAGCACTTCTGAGTGGATTTTAAATTTTCTGTTTCTGTTTCGTTGGATCGAAAAATAATTCACGAAAATAGGACTTTAAAAAAAAGTTTCCTGATTTTTTAAAACTAATATTTATTTTTATTCTGAAATATAGACTCAAGGAACTCCATGCCACCCAGTTTCAGCCTTATACGTTTCCCCATTTTGCTGGCGGTAAAAAATATTTTTGGAAGAGCAACCCACCCAAAAGCTGTGCTCTGGGGAGAAGCTCAGCAAAAGTTGAATTTTTCCTTAAATCAACATCACGTCCTTTGACCTCATTCTGACCTGGACCGAAACCATGAGGGACCCATCGACAGGCGACCCTCCTCAGACTATCTCGCATCCGCAGGATCGCGTTCTTCGCTGCTGATCCGATCGAGTGTCCTCATATGAGGCGCGATTGTCCTTTTCCCCCATGTCCCGATGAATGATCGCGCGATCATGTGTCGCTGCAGCTGGTGGCCGGCCACATCGAGGCTCGTCGTTCGAGAACGCCCTTCCCTTCCGAAAATGCGAACCGATCAAACCCTGGTGATTCCTCTCCAAAGGCGGAGTCTAGGCATTCAAGACTCTACTTCTTCGTGCCGAGTCCACTTTTTTCATTCACTTGAATTAAAATACTCCCTGAACTCCCTACAAAACCGCTTCATGGCAACGATGATCCTCGAGCGTTTTTTTCTTAGGCTGCCTCTACTTGTAGAAAAGTGATCAGCTTCAGAGGAAGCAGTCCACCCCATGGTCCTCAGAGGACTCTCCCGCTCGTCGGCTTCCTTGCGTCGTTCGTGGGCGACTTCAACGTAATAAAGGTGATGTAAGCATTGACGAAAAAGCACGTCATTCAGAAAATCTGCATTTTGAGAGGTGGACCTCCACAAGGAAACCGTGGTGATGAACTACTGTACTCTGCGGAGCAGTAGTGAACGAAAGAGAGGACAAACGGACGAATCACCTCGTATTTCATGTATTTGAATAAGTTCTGTGAGCAGTTAAATAATGAAGAGGATCTAGCAAACTTTTGGAAGCTATTTAGAAGAGTTGGTAATTCTAGAAATAATCATGACACACCCCTTAAATATGACAACGGGACTCACTGCAGTGATTAGAGCAAAGCCTCAGTTTTTTACATTTACCTTGCTGGAAGCTAGAACTGAACCCCCCCCCACCGCTCTCTGGGGCCTGACCCGCTAGAGGAAAGCCTGGATCTCAAAAATAAAATCGTACATTTTCCCTTTTCTGACCTCCCTCCTATACCCGAGCAGCCCTCTCCTGTTCAGGAAGCTCTCATCTAATATATATAGATGATCGTGATTGACCCACTGACTCACTGACGCAAATTCTAACCATGTTCCAGAAAGGTTAGAAATCTGAAACTTAGTACACATGTACCTTTTGGGGTGCAGAGTTCAGAAAAATTCAGACTTTGGAGGTACATGCCCTGGGGGTACACATTTTGGAGGGAGAATTTTTTTAAAAATATATATCGTGATGGATGAGGATGTCATCGAAAGAAGCTATTATACGCCACCGTTTCGGTGGTGTTGTGGTAGCACATCGGACTGATAATCGTGAGGCCAGGGTTCAATTCCTAGCCATTCCATGCATTTTCTTTTTATTTCTCTTGCCTTCCATGTCCCATTGCTTCAATAAAACGGAGAGACATGGAAAGCTGAAACGGGGCATGGACGTTCCTACTGACACGATGAGTTCAGGAGAAATGCAAAGTTTTAGATCCATGCCCTGGGGGAGTAATTTACTTCCTTTTATTTACTGAGTAATCTTCACTTTTCTCACTAAAGTCGATTAATGCCTTTCCTCCCTGGAATTCTGTTTTTAAGCGGAGTCATACTTACTAGTATATATTATAGCGACTGTATGTTTGAAAGTGAAATTTTCATAATAGGAGAAACGTATGAACACGTTGATGACATTCAATCCCAGAAAAAATAAATTGTCCAAATGAAACTTGAATGGCATGAATCAAACTATATTTTGCCGAAAGATGAGGCCCAATTACATAATTTGACTTGCCCTTACGATGCAACGAAGCATGCGACACGGGATCGGATGCCTCACAGGAGAAGTAAAACGTCGGAGCATCGTGTGTTCCGCGCATGTGTTTGGCATGGCACGGGTGTGAAAACGGATCTCTTCTTGGGGGTTATGAGACTCACAATACGCACTCAAATATAGTTCATTATAAAACCACAAGGCTAAGCCTTTAGGTATAATTTAGAAACGCACGTGCAGTTTTTTAGTCAGGAGAACTTTGAAGGACTGTGAAAACACGAACAACGCATCAGATTGGGAAGGAAATTGATAATAGCGAAATTTCCTTCATCTCAAGAAATGCTTTAAATTTGCTATTTTGACCCTTGTTACCGCATGTTTGCTCGCCTGAATATTTCTCAAGACCTTCTGCCACTTTCCCATGAAAGAATGACTTGACATCCATATCTTGCCTCGTGGAATTTCCACGCACCCATTTAATTATAAATATGAAATGAGGATGGTGAGAATGTCTTTTTTTCTATTAGAGAAGGAGAATACGGAAAAGGAAGGGCAATTAACAGAAACAAAATCACTCTGATAGGAGCCAGCGTTGCGTACGTGCTCCATTTCGACGAGGTCGTTGACACAACGACGCAACGCTATGGCTTGCGACTACTCAGATTCGCCAGCAATAGTGCAAGCGAGGATACGACCAGGCGCCCCGAGACTCCTTCCACGCGGATCACCTCCCTCACCCCACAACTCACCACCACCTCTTCCGGTTTTGATGAACTTGAAGCTCAGGTTCGGAACCGGACGTTGCAATGTGAGATATTCCGCGGAGGTGGAGGTGCATGCGGTAGGCATTTTGTGTTTCTTTTGATAACCTGGAAGCCACCTGCGGAGTCATCCTTTTTTCGTTCGTCATCATGTCTGTTTATTTCATGCTCGTATTCCGTCACTTCCAGAGCAAATTAGATGCAACTCATTCGTCTTCGATGTTTGTATTTTTCATGATATGAACGACCACGTACAGTACATGTGTTTCATTTCCCCGATGTTGACAGAGTTTCTTTTCGACGAAAAAGCTGGGACCTGGAACCTTGATGACGAGCACAGGTTGCGGATGAAAACCGGAAACGATTGCAGATGGTTTCTTATCTTTTCAATCTTGGCGATATAGACACAATGGTGGTTTACGACCAGGAACGCGTCATCACTTCCTGCATAAGTCAAATGTAATCAAATGTGAACTTTGTTTCCTCAGATGTTGGGATGCCCGAATCCACTAAAATAAATTTTAAAAAAGCTTCTTCTGGAGACTGAAAGAACCGTCGACTACGAGCATCTCTGGATAGAAGGAATCTAGGTATCATTTCAAAGTCAGAGTTATTTTTTTTACCCTGAAGAGGTGCAGTGTCTTTGTGACCGGTGAAGCAGAAGAAACTAGCCCCAGTTTGATTTCCCACGCCTCTGGGCCGCTTGACATCGGTTCAGGTCCAGTCACCATGGAGGAACTGGACAGTCGATTGGCGTTTTATCTCTCAGTAAAATTGATATATGTGCATAATTCATATATTGTGGTGATGTCATAGATGCCTTTAGAAGACCCAGAGTTGACATTCTTAGATATGGATTCACGCGATTCCACCTTGACCTCATTCTGACCTGGACCGAAACCATGAGGGACCCATCGACAGGCGACCCTCCTCAGACTATCTCGCATCCGCAGGATCGCGTTCTTCGCTGCTGATCCGATCGAGTGTCCTCATATGAGGCGCGATTGTCCTTTTCCCCCATGTCCCGATGAATGATCGCGCGATCATGTGTCGCTGCAGCTGGTGGCCGGCCACATCGAGGCTCGTCGTTCGAGAACGCCCTTCCCTTCCGAAAATGCGAACCGATCAAACCCTGGTGATTCCTCTCCAAAGGCGGAGTCTAGGCATTCAAGACTCTACTTCTTCGTGCCGAGTCCACTTTTTTCATTCACTTGAATTAAAATACTCCCTGAACTCCCTACAAAACCGCTTCATGGCAACGATGATCCTCGAGCGATTTTTTCTTAGGCTGCCTCTACTTGTAGAAAAGTGATCAGCTTCAGAGGAAGCAGTCCACCCCATGGTCCTCAGAGGACTCTCCCGCTCGTCGGCTTCCTTGCGTCGTTCGTGGGCGACTTCAACGTAATAAAGGTGATGTAAGCATTGACGAAAAAGCATGTCATTCAGAAAATCTGCATTTTGAGAGGTGGACCTCCACAAGGAAACCGTGGTGATGAACTACTGTACTCTGCGGAGCAGTAGTGAACGAAAGAGAGGACAAACGGACGAATCACCTCGTATTTCATCATGAACGCTTGGAATCTTTCGTTTAACGGCAGCAGGCTAGAGGCAGTGCTGGGAGCGATTCCACCGTCCTCTTTCGAGAACCACCGCAACTCTCTTCTCCTCGTCCGTCCTGAAGATGGCGAGACGAGAGCCAATCTTCGATTCCCCGTGAAGCTTGCCTCCTCCCCTTCGTGACGTCGATCTGTAGACTCCATTGCACAATGGCACAGCCATGGATGATCAGAAAGATTTGTGTTGTTAACCCCTAGGTCATATCTCGAAGCTTTTGGCTTTTAGATCTGTCGCACACACAAACACATTTGCCGCTGCACCTAGCTGGGGGTCAGGGTCGCGCAGGTTGTATGTTAAACCTCCGGATCTTGATTGCTTCGCAGCCGAGACTCTTGGTTTTGAATAGGTCTTCATTTAACTTTCGGCGCGAATGAAAGCATTGGGTTTTGAACTGGCGAATTTTTTACATGTTGCCATATTGCTGGAAGAAACTGATTATGTATGCCTTCCGTTTCCTCTATATTCCCACAAGAACATTATCAGTCATCACTTCAGTTTGTTTTTAAAATAAATGATGGTACAGTTTGTTAAGACAGTTGCGTCCCATCGCAATATGCCTATTACCTCAGCAAAATTTTTTTTAAAAATCAGGAAATTTTTTCATGCATAAGAAAAAGGACAGTTAACTGATTTATAATCACTTAATAGTTTTCAATATAGCCACCCTTGGCACAGATGACAATGGTTCAGACAACCCACAAAAGCATGGACTGATTTTCGCAATACTTCCATTTCTAGGTTCAGGAATAGCTTGAGAGAATCCAAAGAACGGCGTTTTGTAGCTCAAACTTTGCTCTCTAAGAAAGACCAAATTGAAAAATCAAAAACCGATTTTTTTTTCAACCCACTCGGCGTGAAGCGGCAGCATCTATAATGGTCTGGGTCGGGGATTACAGCACTCCGCTCGAGTTCGGCCTGAGAAGTTGAAGGTCAACGCCTAAGTATACCGGAAAAGCATCCTGAAAGACTGTCTGATTCCGTAGGCCAGGAAACATGTCGATAGAGGCAGCTGGGTCTTCCAGCAGGACTCAGCGCCAGCTCACAAGGCGCGGATGACCCAGGAGTGAGTGCAGTCAAATGTCCCTGACTTCATTTCGACTTCACAATGGCTCCCTTACACTCCGATGTCAACCCCCTAAACTGTTCAATTTATTTTAACTCGGAGAGCAAAGTTTGTGCTACAAAGCACCGTTCTTTGGATTCTCTAAAGCTATCCCTGAACCGAGGATAGGAGCGAATTCCACAGGAAGTCTTACGAAAACCTGTCGATGCTTTCATGGGTCGTCTGAACCTTGTCATCCGTGCCAAGGGCGGGTAAATTTAAAACTATCAAATGATTCTAAATCAGTTAACTGTCCTCGTTATTGTGTATCAAATAAATTTCCTGATGTTTTACTTTTTTGCTGGGGTAATAGGCATATTGCGATGGGACACAACTTCCTCAACACTCTGTATCTTTATGCTTTCAGAAACGCTTCTCGGTGAGGACAAGACTAGCAAAACGGGAGTTTTTAGGAAAACTTTTACATGACAGCATTGTTTTCCCATTACCCGGTATTGTTCGATTCTATTTTCTTCCAGGTATCTTGCCGGAGCCTTTTTATCAGGGAGGAATAAAAAGGGACTTATTCAGCATGGTGATTCAGAATAGGTAATGTGCTAAAAACAAATCTGAATGCCTCAGCAAAATTTTATTATATTTGCGAATATCCCAAAGCAGAGAATATCCATGGAGAACTTCAATTGTTAGTGATGAGGATTTCACATAAATAATATTTTTTTGTAACTTAATTTAAAAAAATCTGAAGTCATTGAATAATGACGCCTCTGCAAACAAAGAGTTTCCGGAGGGAAACAGAACACTTGACAACATCTCACCTCTCGGAGGATCATCAATTATTTTCCTGCTGTGGTGGTGCACTTAGCTGCTTTGTTCTTATCGAAGAGGAAAACTCCATGTTGAATATGACGTCATGGTTGCTTCGAAAGAGATTGCGTAATCAATCGATAATTTTCCAGCGGAGTCTTCAGCATCATAACTAAGATAATGGGAGAGAAAAGGAGAAGGAATGAGCACCATACGCTTTAACCTGCTTGTGAATATGCTGCAAGGACATTCCACGTGCCAGCCCTTTCGGAGGAAGAAGACCCGTTATTCTCTGGAAGCCTTTTCAGGGACCAATTTCTTCTTCATGAGGAATTTCTTAAATCACAATAATGAAGTAATAAAGCATAGTTACGGAAGGTCATCCACGTAGGAAAAGAACAAAATGTTTCCCTCTCTTACGTAATGAAATGAAGCTACTGCAGGTTCTGCGATGTTTTCATGAAACATATTATTATCATTGCTTTTGAAGATGACAGTTCTCTGCGACGTTCAAATTTGGTTGCATAATTGAGATAATTATTATTCATTCCTCTCTCTCCCATATAGGCCTCACTTGACCATGATATGGCATGGCCCTTGTCTCTAATCCCGCTCATTTATTAATATTTTTCCTCATATTAATATACAATTGACAGTAAATATTCATCACCGTCATACCGGGTTCTTCATTACCGAACATTTTCAAAATCAATAGGTGAAAGTACTGTCCATTGATTTGAACATATGCCGGCATTGCCTGCATTCACTCCTAAAAATGGGACGGAGAGTCATGTCAATTACCGTTTTCCTGATGAATCAATATAGGCGATTCCGCCCAAGTGGATGCCTTCTTGCAGCAGCTCGGGTTTTAAATGAAGTTGAAAGGAAAAAGGTTTCTCATTTTTAGGTGTCTTTATAAAGATTTGCTTATGCATATTTTAATATTACAAAGGAGTCCATTTAATTGTGGTTTTGTCAGAATTCGTGGACTACGAGGTGCATCATTAAATATGTATTTATTTGAGAAAAAACTAGCAGCAGGATTCATCAAGGGTAACCATGCAATGCCTGCGATTTAAACTACAACACGACGAAACGGTTAAGCGAAGTTGATTATATTTGGGACTGGGACTCTTACGAACGCATAGCATGAAACAAGAAATAAAACTTTAAACGCACACAATAACCATAGATAAGACGGTTTCCGCCCCGAGGACGCCAATTGTGTCATCTTCTTACTCAGGCAACTTTGTTAATTAGTTTAATGAAGCAGATGTCCAATTTATTTGCATACCTTCTTTGCTGCTATTCATCCGGAAACAGGGTCCTAGAGGGTATTATTGTCCCATTCATAACACCTAAAGTGAAGGATGGAATCTGGCGATAGTGTTCCAGCTATGACGCTAGAGAATTTCACGCAAATTATCAATAGATTCACTGGGTTAGAACAAATGAAAAAGACAAAGAAGAAGAGTATCACAGATGACGATACTCTGAGCTGTTTCCAGGTCGCGCTGAGATTGTCCATTCGTTGTTAGTTTGCGAGACTGGTCCGCATTTTGCGATGGATCAAGATTTTATCCTGTCTTGCTTCTTCAAAACCGACGGCTTTTTCGTGTAAGCAGAAACTGACTCTATAGCCACACTTTGGAGCAGGGAAGCATGCACAAGGGACAAGCAACATTGATATTCGAGATAAAGTTTCGATAGATTTTGCTCCAGACTGCCACTAACGAAGCTAGCAGGTTTCATATCGTATCCTGCTCGGCAGTCTCGAATCATATCTCAAGCGAAGAACCACGACGAGATTGAGCAGGTAGGTGGAAAACTTTGCGACACTGTTCGCCGTGTCTCTTATTGTCTCTGATTTTCTCTTCTGCATATGTCCAGACATGGCTGGAGTGGATTACGGAGCAGTGTTGCGACGCCTCAAGATCATCTTCAAGGAATGTAGGGTGATGATCCCGATGGACCAGTTCTTTGATAAACTGACGGGGAATGACCTAATCACGTCGGCACAAGAAATGCAACTGAGGAACAAGGAATACTATACACAGATCGACGATACTTTCTTCATCCTCCTCACAAAAAATCCCAAGCCGACTTACGAGATTATCTCGGTCATCCTCCAGGATCTCAAAAGGGATGACATATTGGAAAAGCTTTATGAAGATTTCGGTGAGTCGTTATTTCAGCGTCATATTCCAATGTGATCTTTAACAATGCAACAGACATACGATACACGATGCCCGTATTTCATCGAACGCTTCATACTGAAATTTCTAAATGTATTTAGGTGCCCTGGGAGTATCTTCGCAAGCAGCAACCAATGCGCCGGGCGGAGGAGCAACGAACCCAACCCAGATTCGAGATTTGACGCCGAAGTTAGTCCTTTTTTTCCTTTCCTCCTGTAAAACCTAGATTTATGTCCTTCCTTTCTCTCCCGCCACAAATTAGGGGAAGGATTCATGTCCCGTCATATTTTACTAATTTAAAATTTCCACTGGGCATCACAAATCGTTCTTTTTTGATCGCTCATCCTAATGTTGCTTAATTTTCTCATTTTCGGAACTTTACACCTGGGAAAAAATGGTTGGAATGTCCGTAATTATACGAAATAGTGGCTTTCCGTCAATAATAACCGCGCTGTAAGACAAAAAAATATACGCATGCGTACTTAATATAACGGTTCAGATGACCTGGGATGCTATTTTTGCTCCTTACGGAAAGCCTGAGTCATTTACACCAGGAAAAGTCGACAGGAAACGACTCATACCCAGATTACGACTGACGTGACAGCATCCTCGCGTCCAAGGTGACGTTAAGTTCAACCATTCAGGTATGTCTTATCATGCAGTTTGGAGGAAAAGACAGTCGAACTCGAGACGCCAGAGCTTCATCGTTTCATAATATTTTCTCTGGAATTTTGTCCTAATGCTTACATAGTATCGAATGAGAGGTTTTATTGCACATATTTTCAGCTCTTCTCCCATCATTTTTCCATAATTATTTAAATGCTCAATCCACCTTCCATGGTACCGAATTATAGTTCGTACACGACCAATACAACTTTGCACCCAATTGTGCATCACATCTATTGACATTTGTTGTTTTTTTCTGATGTCGTATCTCAACTCGGCCAGTGACCTTGGATTATTCACCATACCACCTCTATTTTATTTAGACCCAAATAACAAAATGTCAAGGATTTTTTAAAGGAAATGATATCTGCCCAAGGCATTCATGAGAACCTGAACCTTTTAAACGTTTTTCTCTAGGGCTAAATGAATGAACCGGGAATAATCTAAGGTCAATAAAGGAGCTGAAAGACAAAATCAATTGAAAACCAAGTGAAAAATCAGACAAATTCAAATGCCGCATAATTCGTTATTCCCCGGCAATAATGGCGACCCCTACTCCGATGATATGCACTATGCTATAACCAGTTTATTTCCACTTCGGGAGAAAAATAATTTCCAACCATATTATACAACCGTTGGAACCGTTTTCTAGAAACTGATCTTAATCTCAGGTTAGGAACAAGAAAGATTTTACAACTCCCTTACTCTATCAACCTGACCATACTTTATTTACTTTAGGTATCCCAAATAAATAATGTAAATTGGAATATTTCAAAATAGATATCGTCCGTTGGTCTTTTTTTTTGAATCCCTTTAATGCAAACTATTCTTGAGAAGTCGGGGTTATTTATGTTATATACTAATAAGCGTTTTGACAGATGGCCCGTGCAAAAATTTACCGTATTTATTATCGGCTTTCGGGATGTTGAAGTAACGAAATGGTGTTCAACTTGAATCGCAGATATATAACGCAGCCAAGGCCACGTCCCTTCTGCATGAAGTACAAGCATGCAATGAGGCTCTCATTACAGGGTGGTCGAAAAGTGACCGTACGACTATCTACCTTTTCATATATTTTATCTATTTTGCGAACAGAGATCTAAAAATACCCGCGTGCACAACACATGCCCGCTCAACACAGCGGCGAGAAAAGGCGGATGCGTGACCGGCTAGGCGACTTCTGCGAAATCTCAGCAGATTTCAGTTTTGGCTCTAGAATTCTGTTTTGGCATTTAATCATGGCGGACACCAGTAGCTACTTCATTGAGGAGCACTTAGTGGCGAGTGTGTGGGTGCGTGAAAGACACCGGACATGTGATTGACCAGGTGATGACCAAGTCCGTGTCGATTTTTGTGGTGAATGTGCAATGAAGGCAGAAACACTGGCACACGTGTCCACTCGGGTTATCGGCCAACCGCTGCGCGGGATGTCCTTCACACTGCGAGGGAAAACTCTCTTTTCTCCTATGCTAATAATGTTGCTTTACGGGCTGGGTGGCTTTCCAAATCGTCCCTGGAACGCTGCCATCACCTGGTCCATCACCTGTCCGATGTGCTGTATTTCATGCACTCACACACTCGCCACTATGCGCCCTTGAATGGTGTAGCTACTGGTGTTTGTCATGGTTAACCGTCAAAACTGAATTCTGCTGAGTTGTCGCAGAAGTCGCCTGGCTGGTCGCACATGCTCCGTTTCGCGCCAGGCCCACGCGCCACTGTGTTGAGACTGCATGGGAAATGTTCACACGGGTACTTTAGATCTTTATTCACGATAAATACATGAAAATAAATGAAAATGTAAATAGGGGTACAGTGACTTTTCGGGCACCCTGTACAGTATTCATCAGGAAAAATTATCCACAACAAGGGATTGTATGATAGATTACACTCACTTCCTTTTCCTTTTCTAGGGAAGCCAGTGAACTCCTTACACGAAAATGGAGCACTCTTGTGGATGGCATGGAGGCCGACGACGTGGCCCTGATACTAGTTTCAACGGGCTTCCTTCCGCATGAATGGGAGCAGGGAGTGCCCCAAATAAGGAAAAAGAAGAGTGAAGTGATCCTCCAAGTCATTCGCAGAAGAGGGCCTGCCGGATTCCAAGCTCTTCAGAAAGCCCTTCAAGAAGTGAACCAGCTTTATCTGCTGGAATAAACGTGTCTCAGCTTAAAGACATTGGACTGAGTCAAAAATCGGAGAAGTGAAGTTCCAGATGTAGCCAGAGCATTTTTTCTCCTAGTTCCATGGCGGTTTTTTATGACCTGCTAGGAAACTGCTAAGCGGGGACCCAAGTAACACAGAATGTCGATGAAACGTTTCCGAAATGTTGCCTATGCTGCTCAATGTTGCAAATTGGGGTACAACATTTATTGAACATTGCCTCAACGTTTTCACTTGGAATGTTGCTGCGGCACTTCTACGTATGCTATTGCCACATTTACTATCAACAATGAGAGAATGTTGACGCTCTTGACATCGACAACGTAGCAATAACATCCTGATACAACATGGACTTAAACGTTTTATGGAATTGTGAAGTTGTCCTTGCCACGAGATTGAGGTGTAGGTCTTGCTTTTCGAACAGTACTCAAAGGTGTCCTTCCTTTCCCTGGAATCGTCCCGCACAGGAATGTTTTGTACCCAGCCAAATGTCTCGTATGGTCTCATTATAGGAATCAATGAGCACGGACGCCTCATAACTTGTTATCCTCAAATTCCATACAGATTCATGGGGCCCAGATAAAAAACAAGTTCATATTCTCAAAAAGAACCCATTCCAAGAACTCGTCAATTGCATCCTACAGAAGAATAAAAACAAAGGTAGAGAGTTAGTGATCTCAATCCTTCATTCCCTCATCCTGAGAACTAGATGAGGAAAAGAAAGACTGAATTCGCAGAAACTCCATAGAATATTGTGGGTGGGCCTTTCCTTGAAACGTGCCATATTTAGCACATCCAAGGAAATATTACCTCCAGAAATGTACTATGGCTTCTGCCAATACATGATACAGATACTGTATTATGCATGGGCAGGGGTTATACCAGTACAGGTTTAGTCCTGTCGATGGGAACGTCTGGGAAAGAGATAAAGCATATGGTACGAAATTATGGAAAAAATAATTCGATAATGGCAGAATATCGGTCCAGTTCAGGACCATAGAAGCCTATACTTTTCCGTGTAGTAATGCCAATATAGATCCAGACCGGGTGCCGGTGAGGCAACGTTTTCCATCAACATTGCAGCAACGTACGTCCTGAAAAGTTTTTGCAACGTATATGTAATGAATAAGTAACGATTTGCAACGTCAGTGCAATTTTCCTTTGCAACATTTGAGTTACGTTGACGTTAAGGACATTTACACATAGAAGCAGCATTGTTCATCAACATTTCCTAAACGTTGCTAGAATTTCCTGTGTTACTTAGGGAGGGGGGTCGCGGGTCTGATCCAAGCCTCTTTGTACTATTATCATTGTGGAATATAAATCGGTGTTTGGGTTATCTATCTGCCACGTCTACCAATCCTCCTCGGGTGTCATTGTTATACTTTATTCTTTTCTATTCAAGAAGTCCTTGATGTCCTTTCCTGCCTGAATCGAGGAATAATATATCAGTGATGATTAGGTGAATCAAATACTTTCCTTCATGATCAGATTAGAGTGCTATAATAAATATATTGGAAAGCACAACTGCAGTCTTTTTTAATGTTGATATGATTTGCAATGTCGTATATTATTTTAACACAATGCTGGTATATGGCACGGAAACTCATCAATGTCATCGCGAGACTATTTCAATCGATCACGACACTTGCCGTTCTTATGACTTGGGCATCAGCCACCCGAATGAACTCCAAGAACGTACACTTTTTATCATTCCTGAATCAGTCGACGATTCCTCTAATAATTTTAGTCGCCTGCTGACCAAGCTGTATCGTATCAAATAACAATTCATAATAGTATGTCGGGAATTTATAGGCACCAGGCGAACGATCTCTATTCGAGTTAAATCGATTACATTTTTCCTCACCTCGTGATGAGGAATCTTCGCACCTTCCAAGGATCATTAGAGTGTAACGTATTGAGTTCCAGCGGGACCGTGCGGGAACTTAAAGACTAGAGCTCCCATGTTGCCCTACAAATAACGCAGAGGTTGTGCGAGACGACATTTTCCGTTAAGGCGAGAATATTCTGTTTTGCATATTCGCCCATCCCCGTACATGGACCATCTCTACTTGGCGAAAGTAGGAAGAAAAAATGGAATGTCTGTTATTCCGATCACTCCTATATGTTCACGCAAAACGACGACCGATAACAATTGGCGATACTAGTAATAATTCTATATACTCACAAGATAAGCCTAATGAACCACTGAATAATGAATAAATTAACTAAATATTCAATATCTGTTTTCTTATGAAAAAGTGTTCATCGCCTTGCTTCGGTGCACCGAGTTCAGATGACATGAAACGAAAATAATTTAGTTCATGAAGTAGGAATTTCGCGAAAAATACTAGAGCCCATTGATGAGGAGACAGAAAGATCCAAATAGGACTTCCATCCCAGGGGAATTTCGCCATCCACAAGAACACACGAGGAGCATCTCCAGCTAGTTAACTTTACATCGTGCATGTTGCCGAGCTACTCCGTAGCGATTCAATGTTCTTCCTTCAGCAATCGGGTGGTGGGTTCTTCCTTCCTGCACTATATGAGGGCTTAATTATGCATGTGGACTCGGGCATTCTTCTGCCTTATATCCTTTCACTAAGGACTGCGTTGTTAGTTGGGTAGTTACTATGTAAAGTACACTGGTTGTGCATTTTTTCGCATAGAGAATCATCGACAAAGTACTGACAGAAGTCAGACCTTCCAAGTGAAGATTGAAAAATCCTGTGAGATGATATCGTCAAGTACAAGTGCTCACATGAGCCTTATCGCATTTCCCCCTGTGCCTCGTATCACTCCTCAGGCAGAGCATTGTCGTGGAACTGCTTACTAGTTTTTGTGCTCTACGCTTCGCTTATGAACAGGTAGGTGATGGCGCATGTGACAACATATTCCGTGGTTCTTGTGTTTTTCGTATTTCGAATCTTCCAGTTCACAAATATTTATTGCATAGATTGATCATGTAGCTGCATTCCCCTGACAAATTGGGCATAGATGCCTCCGAGTGTTCATTAAACAAATATTGGAGGCCTATGGTATTTACAATGGACATTGAAACATGTTCAATGCTGCATCGATTGCCTTTGAGTCGCGCTTTCTTATCGCTAAGCTATTCCTTATCAGCTGTACGCTTTTTGGTCGGGAAACATGTAAAAGTGCAAAGAAGAATTTATTGCAAACATGAACTCTTTTGTTTCCGATGGCTATTAAGGAGGCTTCTGAAATAAACACACTTATTGCTACTATTGCTTTATAATATTTATTAGATTTAAAGTCTGCTATTACATTATAAGAAGAATTCCACGTAATTTCTGAATATAGGGTGACACCTATTTTTCTTCAGGCGACCACAGTATTATAATATGACTTTTAGCATATATTGGCATTGCCCACTAGTTCACTCTTTCACTCCCTCCAGAGAGTAGGAACATATAGCAATCATGAAACTCGATGCTTCCACTATTGCCTTTGCTTCTTTGACACAACCACTTTAAATGGACTGCTTAGCTGGTTCAAGTAATGCAAGTGCACATCCATAGCAGACCAATTCGACCGAAAGTTTCAATATCGCACTGACGATATTGGATGCCAATGATGTCATTATTTTGACCTCATCTAGTTTAAATCTCTCAATTGAGACTGCGAACCATCTGCACATTTTCCTAACAACAAAATCCGTGCTATGCAGGGTGTCCGAAAAGTACCCCAACCCAATGCCGTGTAAGTATTTTTTTTCAGGTGAACAATCGCTAAAACGAGATATTCATTTTAAGAAAGAATATTCTCAGTGTCAAGTTACATTCGAAGTAGGAGTTACGTTCCAACCCAACATGAATTTGAAGAATGGTAGGGGGAAAAAAATGGCTGTATAAATCGACCATGCAGCAACTATACGATGACATTTGTGAAACTGGTAGTGTAAAAAACAAACGAAGGGCAATGTCAAGGAAACAGATTTCATCACATTCCTTAGTGAAACATTGACAGAAAAACATGGATGAGGAAATTCTTGCTACATTGAATGATGGCGAAAGAGAGCTTATCAGGTTTCAACAGGATAAAGCCACATCCTACACAGCTCGGGCGACAAAGGCAAACTTGGAATCAAAATTTCCATGACACCGTATTTTAGCAGAATTATTTCCACCTCGATTCCTAGACGTTAGTCCACCAGACAGTTTTCTTGCGGGCATTTTTCAAAAATTCGGAGTAAGAAAATAATATTTAGTTGTGAACAGTTGCAGCCGAATATTCATCTACCTGTTGGGTCAATAGATTGTGCGGAACTGATTGTACTGTTTGTTCTCCATACCTGTTCTCAATACCAGATAAGACATCGCGCAGTGTAGATTGAGTAACTGTTTTATCGAGTGCATAAATGCCAAGAATATGTCGGAAATACTCGACAATTTTGTTTGATGTTTTTGGCATTCCTCACAGGAGAGTAATTTTTACACATCTTCACCTATCGTTTAGGGAAGGCACCGACCCAATCATAAGTCGATGGAACCACCTTGTGGATAACTTGGAAGCGGATCACGTCGCACCCATCCTAATCTCGAAGGGCTTTCTCTCACCCGAATGGGATGATGAAGTCCATCACCCTAAAACAAGGAGGAAGAAGAGTGAAGCCATCCTCATAACCATCCGACGGAAAGGACCCGCTGGATTCCAAGCCCTGAAGGAAGCTCTTGCAGCAGTACATCAGCTTCATCTCCTGGAGTAAACGAGTGCTATCTGGATGTGATTCGACTCCCCGTGTTTCCCTTGGCAAGTATATCCTGGTTTGGAGTCATGTGATGTGTGAACATTGATTTAATATTTAATATTTTAGTTTATTTCTTAATCGACATCATCATAATAACTGACGCTGAGATTACTACCTCATTGATAAAAATGCTGCGAATGTGTTTTACTCTACGTTCGTTGAAGTCAATGCATTGGGACGTGTCATTTCCATCATTCAATCCTGTCCATGGCAACTAAAAAACTACTATTCGGAATTTATTGATATTATGTATAACTGTAAGACTCTATTAACATACCCAAGTGTAAAAAATACATCATGGTTGGCGGATCAAAAACATGAGGTTAATGAGCAGTCGTCATTAAAAATTAAAAAAAATAAGTCACTGGCCAAATTCTGGGGAGACATATTCTACTTAGGCGGGCGGCCTTCACTCCTTTCCTTCATATCCCAATTAGCACATTCACGTCGAATCAACGTTGATTCAACGTCATTTCGTCAACGCAGCTAACGTTGAAACCACGTTGCCTGTCAACATTGATTCTACATTGAAAGTTCATTTTTATCAACAATTGATCTAACGTTGACATCAACGGTATATCAACATTGATTCAATGTTCAAAACCAACATTGCAACGTTGCTTCAACATTTGCCTATCACCGTTGACTCCATATTGAAAATTCATTTTCTTCAAAATTGATGGAATGTTGAATCCACGATGATTCAACGTTGATACGACAGGTCTCAACAATCATTTTAATTTGTGCGCATGCGCCGTTTCATGACTGAAGCATTATTTGAAAATCATCTGGACACGATCTCCATCCTCCGAATCCGCTTTTTTTAAAGATCCGCCAATCCAAGGACAATGCGCACCTAATGCCGAGACGAGAAAGAGGCATCCCGTTCCCCCGGAAGCAGGACACCGACGCGATTTAATAAGAGACTTTCCTCACTCCAACCACCCTTCGGCAGTGATCATGATTTGGATTCATCCTCGCAATCAGGGCGTCTTCGTCTCATGGAGTAATATCACCTTGCATACTTTCTCGTGTTCGGCACCCTGCTCAGAATTATCCTGGGTCCTGCTTGGTTGACTTGCCACATTGGTCGAATATATCCAGGAAGTCAAATTCCTTCCCAGACGTCATTTGCGGAGAAAATATCAAGTACTGTTCCAAAAGTATTAGAGACGCGTACTGATTGCATATACAGTATATGGTAACTAACCATGTTGGGCAAGTAGTCGCCATCACATTTCAGTCAGGAAATCTTGTTTGCTCGCATGTCTCGCCAGATATTTCGCCTGACATCTGTTGATGTAACGTTGATCGGACAACGTTATCTCAATATTGATCTTTTCGACATCGAATGAACATCGAATCAATGTTGAAGGATTGATGCCATACTGAAGCGCTCATTTAATTAATATGCGAGCAACGCTGACGAGGTGAAGTTTTTTCACGTGAGTCTGTTCTTTCTTTGGATAACCTATATTATTGAATACTTCGATACGTGCTTAATGCATTCACCATACTCAGAAAATCGTGTTAGTAATAAAAGCATAATAAAGCAATAAAAAACACATTCATATGGGAAACACTACATGAAGACTATATGTCATCAAGACCGTCCCATAAAACACTTTCTTATTATTAGTGAGGAAAATAAGAAAGACTTTGGAAAGCAGCCCTTACAATTCAAGCTTAATTAGCATCTAATATATATAGAGGATCGTGACTGACTGACTCACTGACGCTAATTCTAACCATGTTCTAGAAGGGTTAGAAATATGAAACTTGGTGCACATGTACCTTTTGGGATGCCGAGTTCAGTAAAAAAAAACCCACTTTGGAGGTATATGCCTTGGGGGTACAAATTTTGGGGGGAAACCTTTCTCTTAAATATATTTTGTGACAGACAAGGATGGCATTCAGAGAAACTCTTGCATGTCGTGGATTCGGTGGTATAATGGTAGCATCTCTAACTGATCAATCAGAAGGTCCGTGTTCAATTCACGGCAATTCCTTGGCTTTTGTTTTGATTTTTTTTTTCCCTTCCATTTCCAGCTACTCATTCCCCCAACATAACATTATTTTTGCTTGAGTGAAACGGAGCGACATGGAAAGCTGAAACTTGGCATTGAGGTGCCTACCCAGATGATGATTTCAAACAGTTCCTTTCAAAAATTCTTATTTGCTCGAAATCGAACGTTCCTCTTGAAATAAATATTTCCTCGTAGATTCTCTGATGTAATTGCAAACACAGATGGAGAATGCATTTTAAAAAATCATTTACTGCAAATACTTCGACCGTGAATGGTCCAGCATGGAATGAATGTTGGCCCAAAGTGAGTGTGTAAATGGTGACGGTCACCGCGTTGAATCAATGTTGAAGTAACATTGATGCAACGACAGCGATGCATTCAATCCACACCCAGTCAACAATGATTCAACGCCTCATTCCAAACACGTCGGTGTTTATATATAGGGGATGAAAATACCCGATTTATTCAGATTTCGAACTCCTGCTTTACGTCACCTAGGTGGCCCTTGTGATCCAACAGTCACAGGGCCACAAAACGCCATCGTCCAGGTGCCCCACCTCTAGGAAACTAAGGTTTGAAATTCAGGGTTACTAGACTGTCCATTGCAGCGTTGCTTGCAAAACCCTTTTTTTGACAATTTTTTTGGGAAGAATAATTTATTTCATCTCATCAAAAAGTCGGACATGCGACAGAATACGCGTTTGAAATCGAATGTGGTTTCGTAGAATGCCTCTCTCCCGTTGTAATGTTAGGGATGACATGGAAATAAATAGGACTTTCTTGGTGTAGTGGTAACATGATTGCTTCATAATCAGGAAGTCTAGGGTTCGATTTCCGATCGCGTCATTTGTTTTTGGTCTTCTTATGCTACCCGAACTCTTCCCGCATCCCCCTCGGGCTATTACATTCTCGAGAATGGATCCGACAGTCGCAAAGGCCGGAAAAAAGTGCTTCTCCGCAAGGGAGACGTAGACCCTTTGCCAGGCAGAAAGCGCCGCAAATGCGCACATGGACTTGCAGACATGCACTCAGACCCAAGCATCGGAGACTTCATATGCACGAACGCATTGTGTTTTTAATATATAGGACTGGCTGAAGTACCCGGCTTTGCCCGGGAAATTCAATATTTCATGCATGACAGATTGGGGAACGTTAGCCTTATGGTCTCCTGTAAGTTACCGATCTTGGGTGTCGCAAAACGCGCTCGGACCCCTTTCCCTGTTAATTTTTTTGCACGGTTTTAATAATTTCTAAATTATTTTTAAGGGAAAAAAAATATTGGCAAAATGCTTTTATCGTTTTCAAACATATTTTCCATGACAACTTGATAAAAAGAATATTACTTACTACCTACTGTAGTGATCCAGAAATGGGAATCCCCGGGGTACTGTAATGCGGGTGGCCTGAAGGGGAGAGTTGGATGGCATGAGAGGACAAAACAAAAGCTGGGGACGGCCGGGAATCGAACCCTGGCCGTCTGATCGTCGGTTAGGTATGCTACCACTGCACCATCAAATCCAGGAGCCTGTTGCTCCTCTCAATGCCATCTCAGACAATACTGACCGCCGAAAAGTAACCCGGGAATGAAAATTTTGGATGGAAACATAGCCCTTGACCTTCCCCTGGATGAAAGAGGAGGCCATGCAAAGTTTGGTTGCAATGGCTCCAAGGAGTCCAAATGCATAAATGAACAGACAGACAGACAAACTTTCTTCTTTATATATATCAGATTGTAAAGGTGAAATTTAGACATTTTCCAGAAAACAATTTATTGACAAATAGCTCAACAACGACTAGAGTGCAGTCTTGCGTCAATGTATCTGTTGTAGGTTCGCGATAAGAACTCACGCCCACAATGCCCACTGGTCACTCTACTTATACACCTACATAGAAAGTTCTAACATTTTCCAGATTTTTCTAGAGAAAATGGAAATGTCTAAAATTCACCTTTACAACCTGATATATATAGAGAGAGATATGTCACACCGATCCAGCCTCACAAAAGCACTTTTGTTCATTAGTAAGGTAAATGCCTAAATATGAACATGTCCAAGTCAATCGATTAATTGGCTTTACAAGTATATACATAGATGATTTTTACTGAATCTCCTTTTTATAATTTTACGTTTGTATTGAGACAATTCCACCATGTGAGATGCTCGTGCAGGCGATTTCATTATCTTTATAAAAGTACCTCCTACACTCGCGATAATTTTTTTCTTTTTGCTTGTTTGCTGCGATAGACCTGCGATAGGCCAGGCCTCATCCCAGCCACCTTCTTATCTGCCATAAATAAAGCATTTTTCGTTATCATATTGTATTCTGGGTTATTGGCTAAACTACTCAACGAACCATGATGAAGTACGCACAAAAAATCCTAACGGTAGATGAATAACAAGGGATTTTTTTTACCGTGAAAGAATCCATTGAATCGAGGTGGATTTAATGTTGACACTTTCACCGTGAATAGTGCATCATTGATTCAATGTTGAGTCATTGTGGGAGTATAAACGGTGATGGTCACCGCGTTGAATCAATGTTGATTCAACATGGAGGTATAAACCTTCAACAGTGAAACATTCGATATATACAAACACAAAATCAACGTTGAATCAATGTTATGTGATACCTGGGATGTGCCTGGCTGGTTTCTGCTGATGCCGAAAGCAACTCTCGCGAAAGGGAAATTTATTGTGAATGTTTATATTGTGCATAAAGAAATTGGAAGTGAGAATGAGAATGAGAGAAATGAGAAGTGGGGTCTAAGGCTCCGAGGACGAAGACTTGCTAAGCTGTTTTTACCTCCGTGAAGACAACCAAAGAACTTCGATATGTTGATTAAATTTGAAACTATACATTATCTAAGTTTACGCGTACGCCATTGACTTAATAAGCATTACGGAGAAGGGGAAGGCTATAACGCGTGACATGTCACTTCAGAGTTGAATCGTGCGCGAAGTTCTTGTTAGGCAAATGTTCTGTTCCTAAGTCAACGTTTACGAAATCCGCCTTGCACTCATTTTCCAGGATTCCAGTTTGTCATGGTCGATGACATGTTCAGCTCGATGACTAATGGTAAACCATATTTAGAAGTGCCATATCTCTCCAGAGAGGCGGCGCTTCCATATCTACCATATCTGTCACGCCTACCTGAACCATATAAAATGACAGATACGTTTCGGGTTCAGAAAATTTCCTACAACGACTTCAGGTGAAAGCGAGGAAACAAAGATTTCCAAGAGGCAGGCTCTCAAGGACCAGATCCCTGAATGCTTGGAATCCTCTTCTGGCCGGTGTAATAGCGTGACCTGAAATTCTTTCACACATTTCATTGGTGGAAAATGTGGAGCATCAGAATTAGAAATCTCGAGATAAAAGTCCACTTCCCGTGCGCCATGAGGGTCTTATCTTGATATGGAGGGTGGACTTTTTTTTACGAACGACCAGGACTTGAAGCACTACTACTACACCATTGAATTCAGCAGATATCATGCCTTTGCTTATCATCACAAATATGGGTTTCTGTTCCAAAGAAAAAGGGCAGTCCCGCCCTCCGTTCAATGCGACTACATAAAATGACAGTAAAAGCAGTAAGAAAGTTGGAATTAGCAATCAGATGTAAAGGGCATCTTTGAGATTCAAGAGACTGCATAGTCCGATCCAAGAGAGAGCACTAAAATGGTAGCATCAAGGAAATAAAGTAATTAATTAATTAACACATTTTTGTGCAAGGTTTTAGACCATGATAATCAATATGAGACAACACTCACCTTCACACGATTTCTCCTTCATGGTTAGGTGATTCGGTAAACTGCGTATTATTTATGTGGATGTCATTAAATATGTTTGACATTCCGCGACATGCTTAGACAAACGTAAAGCATAACAGGCACAGAACTGCCACCCTCTCTGCTATGGTATTTTAAATTAAAACTTGTTTGAGTCCAATTACGCATTACACCATCTCCAGACGGATCTCTGCAGGCCGTTCACCCCAGGGGTGCTGCCGGCTCTGCCTGCAAGGAAACCGGGAAATCCTCATGTGGATAATCTGTGGTCATCTCGCAGTTTAAGAAATGATTCCGATTTGGACTTTGGACTGATCAGGAAGGCCTGCGGACATTATTTTATTCGTTCCGTTCCATTCTGACTCGGTCACAGGTCCGAGTTTTGACCTTGCAAAATTAAATTTAAACTTCCATTACCACTTTGTTTGCCTTCTTTGACGTGCAAAAAAAAATCAATTCCTCGCACTGGTGTGTAACCCCCCACAATCTCATGAAAGGATTGTTTGAGCAAAACATGCGTGAAGATGAGCCTCCTTTGAAACATTTCATTACCGCTGCAGATAACTTCTTCTCATCTATCATAGAGAACTTTCGATATTTTTCCAACGGTACACCTCCAACTTGCAATGCAACCAGCATGAGAAATTCATACCTTAGAAAAAGTAATTCTTTAAGGGATGGAAGCCATTTGAATAGTCGGCTCCTGTATCATCAAAGGATTAGCCGGGCGAACTCCGGAGCCAATCCTATCATAATGCATTCTTTCATATGATTTTAACTCGATGCTTGGCTGCTTGGTTTCCTCCATTGTGTTTAACCTTCTCGAAATCGTCTATATCCAGAGCGTCCAGTCAAAATCCAGATTGGGTCAAGCTACGTATTAGTAATTGCTCCCTGATGGCGTGATGCCTCAGATGCACCTCGTATTTGGCACCTGGGACCTCTTTAAAGGCTCCGGGTGCCTAATACAAGGAAGTTGAGAGTCTTAAACATTGCTCAATCTTGATTCAACTATTACTTTGTCTTGAATTTAACTTAAACTTAAACTTAAATTTAATTTCACTTAAACGGCAACTCTACTCCAAGCACACTTTACTTTCCGGAATACAATTATCTATTATCTATTATCTAAATAGGTCATGGTAGGCAACATTTGTAAAAAGTAGAAAACAAAATATCCAGGAAGACAACGAACCAGGCAGCAGACCACGTGGTACTCACGCTGTCTATGAGAGGAGAAGAGTGGGTCAACATCGCTGGGCGCAGCGGGCAATCGGCATTCATCGCAACTGTGGGGAAGCCATCTATCGCAGTTATTCGAACAATGAAGGTACTCAAGTATAAAGCGAGATGGCGCGCAAAATAGACAATTTTCATGTTACATCAGTACCTCTTCTGTGTGCCTGAAAGTCACGTCGCACGTCGGAGTTTAACGTCAGATCAATGTGAGGATTGTCATAGCTTAAAGTGAGTCAAGGGACAAGCTTATGAGGGGTCAATTTTGGAATTAAGTTTGGGCCCCCATCTCACATATGAGGCATTCCAACTCAAGTGGTCAGGGGGTGGTTGCACTTCATGCTCCGATTTGCTTGGAAAATATGTGTGCATGTTAGAATTCTAAACTCAAGAGGCAAATCAAAACTTTGACCATCTGGCTCTAACGGTGCTCGAGATATGCGGCTCCAAAGTTAGTCCCAAGAGGAAAAGTGACATTCGTGGTTGAAGAGCTATCTTTGGTCGTAGTCGAACTTGAAAGCGTCTTTGGACTCTAACTAAGCCTGGTACATTGTATTCTGTATTTGAAAAAACCAAGGCTACATTCGGCCTCTACATTTGCTTGTGCCTTATATAAGTACAGGGATACATGGACAGAAATATGAAGACCTTCGGTGTCGTAGCATCATATCCACAGCTTTGCGTGAATTTGGCGGTTTTCAACAGAAAATGCAAACGCATGAGCCATCAAATAACCGTTTCCAGCTTGAATTTTTCATGGGCGGTATGCGGTAACGACAGTTGTTTTGAGAACTCCTCATTTCCAGTGCCTCGCAAAAGGACTGGATCCGGAATCGTACTTGCTACAAAACGCCACTTACATTCTGGTGATGGAGAGCGACATCCCGTACGATCTCTGCATCGGGTATGTCAAGCAGCTCCTGAGCGGTACCGAGGATTGTTAAAACTGCCTGAGGGACTTCGTTCGCCTGGTTGACGTTGTGGATGGCCTCCTTTGAAAGGGGACCCTGCCCTTCCTGGATAGGAAATCATGGCTCTTTGAGGATGTGCCTCCAAAACCAGGGGACAGATTGTCGCTGTTTGTCATCGAAAAATGTTATTCATTCCTGCGAACACGGACGCGGTGAAGGTTCTCCTCACAAATTATAGTGATTTTCGACGTTCCATATGGCCATCTTTCCAGTCGCCAGCTCATGAACGCGATTCACCAATTTTACCTATGCCTCCAACTGCATCGCCATTGATTCAGAACTGCCAAATTCCGAAGTGTTGTCCTTTGTAGCAGCCTCCGAGTACGAGGAAGTCACAGTGACAGGCGTCGCGAATGGTGATAGTGAATACGTCAGGATTGAATCTAAAGGGACCATTTTGACCATTTTAACTCATCAGCTGAACTCATTTCCGTGTCAAAGAGGCAGTAGGGTGAATCACGGGTTAATCATATTGATCCCTACTTAAAATTGAGCATGGTCAACGGTTGAGAATATTTATCAGCACGGAATATATACAGTACACTCTTTGCGGATCCCTCTTTCCTGTTTACAGCCGTTGGAGGATGTGATTCATAACAAGAATAGTCACGTTCTTCTTATCAACTTCAGAGAGGTACTTACGCGTTTCCTAATAGGTTTTTATTTTCGTATGGTAAATACTTCCATCGAAATATAGGTCATCGGCAAGCTGGATACAGTAAATGTAATTTCTATTGGTCAATCACTTTATGTTGCTCTTAAGGTTCCTCCATGGAAAGTAATGCCTTTCTTTGGTGAATGAGAATATATATTGGAGGGAGAATTACCTTCGACGATCTATGCCAAACTCACTTGAAAAAGAAGCTCATTTAAATTTCATTTTTAAATCTATCCACATGGAGATGTTTTATAACGAAGAACAAATTGTCCTGCATATATTTGTCACAATAAATATTAGTTAGACTGGGATTGGCTGTGTAGTGAGCGATATTAGGCAGTCCTAATGTTCGCTGATTCCAAACTCGGCTACTCTTGCAAGAAGTTGCCACACCATTTTCTAGTAAAATAGAGGGAAAACAGTAGAACTGGTGAAGGAGAAGCGTGAATGAGGTGGGAAATGTTGCAAGAAAACATCTAAGTTATTGCGCAATTGCGAATTTTAAGGAGTCAATTCTTGTGAAAAAATATTTGGTGAATACTCGTTGTTCTCTTCCTTGAGTTTTACTGTTCAAAGCTTACTTTGGTTATAAAAACGCTGGGAGTTAGGAAAACAGACTTCTACTTTTCGCGCAGAATTAAAGAACTGTATTCATAACATTTATTCAACAGTATTCCTTTGAAATTTGCCAGAAGACCGTGTAGATACTCTAATATCGAATCATGCCAAACATTTATTGATATTACTGAATTAAAAAAGCTATTTCACCAATAAGGAAAATGCATACTTGCCCTACATGAGTTTCCTCCACATGGATCTTTAAATAGGTACGTAATTTCAGAGACATGGCAATGAAACATGGTGAACATTGTCCGCCTGTATTTTATCAGAATATCGAGTTACATTTTGCCGAGTTTCGTGGATCTGGTTCCTTTGCTGACGCAATGGGATGACAGACGCATACACCACCGCATTCAATCTGCATATTATCTGATTCTATATCTGAAGTAATACCGAAGGTAGCATGTCTCGCGTTTTGGAGAAAACCATATCTCTACTGTAATGTTCCCATGGCCGAAATGGTTCTTATCTATCCCTCTCTTTCTCTCTCATGTTCTTATCTCTCTACACACTCATGTTTTAGTTTTTAGACTTCAAGGTATCTATGGCGTCCATATACGTTGGACGGTTATGAGCAGTAGTGCAAAGAGGAAGAGGAAGTGATTTCCTTTCGCGGGAATGCAGAGAGAGGACTACCTGGCATGGGACAGACACGAAAAGTGGAAGGAGAGACTCTCTCTCCTCTTCTGTGGTCTCAGGACTTTCGCATTCGTCAGCATGTTTTTCGTCTTGGGATCAGGACGCATCGCTGTATTCTTCGTCCTCTTCGCCCTCGTCGTCGCTGGACTGCCTGCGATTCACCTCCTCCTTGACTTCCGGCTTACCAATCGCTTCGAAGCCCTTTACAGAAAGCCCCGGGTAGTGCACAACTCACGTTTACGTTCTCTTTTGATGCTATTTTGAACAGCCTCCCGTGTAATGCAGTACTGAAGCCTGTCGAAAACAGAATTCCTCTTTCCAAGAAATATAAGTTTAAATATAAACTACACGAAATATAAGTAACTCCGCATTCCATTAGATGCAATGTTCCTACGTTAGGGCGTGTTATTGCACAATCTACGTCATCATATTTGGGTTCTTCCATCTCTACATCTAATACGTTTATGCCACATGCAGCAATTCCAAAAGTATATACAGCAAATGAATGTCAATGTCATTTTAATCATTTTCCGAGTGCGTCAGCTAGTTGAGAAAGATTCATAATTTGTCGATTTGTTTATGAGCTCTGATTATATTGTTTCAGGGGCTAATGAATATTTTCGTTGAAGTATTTCCCGAAGTGTCTTGAGAAAACTAACAAGATTTGCTTTTGATGAAGAAATCGACACTTCTAGCAGCTGTATCTATTATCAAAAATTTCTGAAACTTGCTAGTCTACGGGGAGAAGCTACGGAATCAAGGGTTTCATTACGGAATGCTATCTTTAAAAAAGTAATAATTTTCATATTGTGCGGAGTTCCATTTTCCCATTACTTTCATAAGCTCTACTTGAAAAAGAAGAAGCTCTATTTCGTGACTTATTATTCTCCTTTATGATCCATACATCAATTCTTAGAAATTAATGGAAAATCCATGCACCTCTCATATATTCCATATTCGATATTAATTAGATGTAGAAAATAGGGACGTGAGAATGGACATGAAGTGTTATTCAATCTAAGCGCAGGTGAGCAAACTAAATTAACGTTATGCATTCATGGATGGATATAGAGAAAATCAACACGAAATCGTTAAAAATAAGTTTTGGACTGAAAAAAGTGGTTGTGAGGTATATATTCCTAATGATACCATATCTAACTTGTTACTGCCGGGAAAAAGTGAAAAAAAAGACTTTGATCAATATGGTTTGATGAAAAACTAATTGCGCAGGTAAAAAGAAAACTAGCTCACCCTCGTACATCAGCTGTCTATGAAAACAATGATTTACATTTAATATACGTGATAAAAATGCTACATTGACTAAATGTATTGATGACTTTAGAGGATGTGGTTGATGTATTCCACTTGCATCACGTTAAGCATGCATCCCTATTGCTTATGAGAATAAATAAATTCCCCTTTCTTGCTAGACTTTCAAGTTTTTCAAAAGCCATTTGTGAATAAGAAGTAACTATTTATAGTGCAAGCACCCCGGTTTCTGGCCGGTCTCCAGTTGTTGGCCTGAGTTAAATCCAGAATAGTTAATCTGGCCGTTTTGAAGCATTCTATCAACATCTTCCTGTACGAGGGCCTAATACAATTGTCTCTCGATGTGCGCACAGGGTGTTCACTTCCAATGGGAGACGTATCAGCGTGACCAAAAACTGGGGTGTTTACCCCATTCTCTCCTGAAAAATATGCACTTCAATTTCCTTTTGGATGTAATGATAAGGAGTTCTGTTGTGACGCGTCTCTCTCTCTTATTTCCAGTGCCTCGCAGAAGGACTGGACTCTGAGCTGTACATGTTCCCGAATGTCCCCTATGTTCTGGTGAAGAAGCGACACACGCCTTACGCCTCCTCCCCCTGGTACGTCCGATTGCCCCGGAACGCCGTCGAACATCGATTCGCATGCGTGAGAGGCTGGGTCCATCGGGATGCCGTGTCCATACTCTTGAACCAACGCTGGAGCGTTGGGGAATTTTCCCCGGACCCGAGGGACGGGGGTCCCCCGTTTGTGCTCAAGGAAGTTCTTACTCCGGCTCGTCACGGAAACACAGTTAAAGTCATTCTCACGAACTTCCCGATCATTCGACCGCATAAGCATGACGTCGGGACCGGGACTCCGATGCGTCACTTCGGCATCGGGCAAAATTCCTTAAACGCATCATCGAAGCATCATAACCGAGGATTCATGAGCACCATGAGTTGCCCAGAGTTGCCGCCTCCGAATCACGAGGCAGAGATCCATACAGGCTTAAAAAACGATGATAGGAGTGAATCATGCAAAATTATAATACAAACTTAATAAAGAAGTTGTCAAGTGACTATCAATAGTAAGTTTTATTTTGGAGTTATTGAGAAATCTCAGGTAGGTTAATCACCCTTACAAACAGGTTTCATTTAAATGGTCAATGGTCAATGGTCTAGGCAGCGGTTCACAAACTTTTTTACGCTGCGCCTCCCTGGCGACCCTGGCTCGGCGCCTAGCCCCCTTACTCTCTGAGAGGAATACATTAGAGGTTGAACTTACCCCACGGATGAGAGGTAAGGGCGATGACTTAAAAAAATAGGAGACGGATTGCAAAGTTTTAGGGACCTGGTCACAACAAGGAAACCGGATTATTACTCGCGTTATTGAATGAGAACGACGCTCACATACTTCCCGGCCCACAAATGATCGAATCTAGACTGGAAGGTAACAATAAAAGCACAAATCTCATTTTCAAAGACGTGACAGACAAATGTCTCTAGACATATTTCTATGCCAAGGGAACCTAGCTTTTCTGCGCCATTGAGTTTATCCATGCATTTATTTAGACAGAACGAGCGCACGAACGCTACATTCATCGATCATTCACGTTACAGCCCACAGGGACACACGTTTCATTTATCTTCTTTCGAATAGTAGGAAATCGCCGACGGAAATGTACACACTTTGGGAAAATGGAATCGAATTTAAAAGTCTGCCTGGAATTGTTTTTATTTAGTCTTGTACTCAAGGGGAAAGACCAGAAAGACCTGAAGGAATGATATCTTTTTCTAGTAAAAATAATAAATAGGCGAATAAAATCATTCCATATTTGAAATTGCTGCTTGTAGTGGATAAAAAAAAACTGACATAACCTGTCGCGCCCCCCCCCCCTAGGGGTCGCGCCTCCCAGTTTGAGAACCCCTGGTCTAAGCCTTCCTCCTTTTCCGAGCCAGCTTTTACATTCGAACGACCACCGAAAAAAATATTTATTGAATGAACATGGGTGCACATATTTGATTAATTCGAGAGTTCTAGATTTTCATTTTTATTAGCATATGGGGAACCTTGCAGGAATCTCGGCAGGACGCATCCTCTCTTATTTTCCTGATAGCTTTCCTCCACCTCCATTTCTTCCGGAATAGTGCAGTAATTACAGAAATGTCAACATTATTAATAATTGATGTGGTTCAACACCTATGCTCTTAACATTACAGTGGGGAGAAAGAAATGTTTCATGGAAGTTTAAAAACCGGTAGATCTTAGTCATATTATATATAGCATAATTATTATGTATATAGTATATTCGATTTCTTCGAGTTTTCAGATATATGAAAATCCGACTGCTTGAATTATTGGTCTCACAAACATGGCTTTGGACCAAAAAGTTTGAGGTCCGGTCGAGTGCACAATTTACATCTGAAAAAAAGCCAAATTTTCGGTACTGAATCTCTCCATTTTTTTCTTTAAACGTTCGGAGAAACAAGTACTGCATGGGAGAATAATAAATCTCCTCCATATAGTTTCAACCACTTGAATTTAAAAAGCGGGATGCGACCGAAAGATTGCATTTATAGTAGTTGGTAGTTATGCGCACCTGAACCTAGTGAATGTAAAATTACCCATCCGGTTTTTCTTTAACTGCGATCCACGGATAATGGCTGATTATGCATAATCAGACATTTACCGTCTAGAAGAAACGTTTGTAGAAAAAATGTCCTAATTCTACAGAAATTTCCACACCGGACATGGAGCTCTGACCGACTTGCGGTTTCCTTGCCCTTGCTAAATCAATCGAATCGTAATTCGCTCCACGCCGAAACTTCACGGCACTGCCTTGTTCCGTCTTGGGGGAATTGCAGAAGAAAAACATGGTGCATGCCCATGGAAGAGAATTAAGCGCCTTCGTATCAGGAAAGCCAGGATTACGCCCGTGCGTCATGTGATTCTTATCTTAGATCTGCGTCACACGAGGTGGCCCAAAATAATTCCGGTCGTGAGGTGCGTTTATGGATGCACTGTCTGTCGATGGCAAACATCAAATTACAAATAATTGCCTCTATTCCACGTAGTTAACGTCAATTTCTATCTTCTTTTTCTGCGTATGGTTTTCGGGTTCGGTACAATTTCGCCATTTCTCTACGCTCCCATATAAAGCGATAAAAAGCGGATGCGTTGATCCGAGACACCCGGTGCCCTCATCTGCAGACCTCCTTTTCAGTTGAAGCGATACTAGATGCATGGGATGTAACCAGAGGACTCTCACGACCGACAAGGTAAGGGCTGATGTGGGTTCCCGTTTATGGGGGCGAAAATGAAGTAGGACTATAAAACATCGAAGAGATTCAAATGCACAATGCATATACTGTTTGTTATCTGCCTGTTTGCAATCCGCCCTGAAAAGCGGAGTGCCCCCGTTTGCGATGAAACACGTTTCGTCGCTCGATGCCATCAAAAACACGGCTCAGATGTTTTCTCACTAGTTCTCCTAACCATCCCGATCGCAAGCCCTTGGCTCAAGGACGCGATGATCGCAATGGATGGCATTTTTAATCAATTCAGAAATGCTCGAGAGCTGTCAAATTACATGTACCAAGAGATGTCTCGAATTATCACTCACGTGCCACGAAGATGCGACTCCGAAAGGCATCAAACTCGACGGCAGTAGTCAATCTTACTAAGTCATCGTCCATTCTGAACGAAGATGATTTGTATCGGACTGGACTCATGTTCTACCGCTCACGTTACCTCACGGCCTTTCGTCACGCAGTCGGCGAGTTCGCCGTCAGAATCGGCCATTCCCGTTAAAATGCCCTCGTATGAGTTCCATTTATGTTGCTCAATAACTCGCTTCGTGTATCCTCTGCTTCTTCCTGCTGAAGGCGATGATTCACCACAATAAGTTAAGCTCTTTGACGAATGTTTTATTCCGCATGGGAAATGACATAACTTTTCCAACTAATTTAAAAAATTATGTATTTCACTACAGGCAATCAGGAGTTAAACTCGATATAACAGAATCGGAATTCATTCCGGAATTTAAGCTGAATCTCATCACTTTTTTTTGCTCCCCTGCCAATCACTCGGCATAGGTATTGTTATTTGGACAAATGACAAGCGTCCCTTGTGAAAATGTGTCGTTCGAAACAGATAAAGGCTATAAGGATAAAATGATACTCCCTTGGGATTTTTTTTTCCTGTATCCCCTATAATTGAAACCGGAGGATACCCTCGTTAAACATACAGCGTACGGCAAACCTCCCCACTTGCCAGCCCGAGTGGCAAAATGCGTATCAACGTGTGTGTGTGACAGCTCTACAGGCCAAACGCGTCCAGGCAAGAACTGGGCATTTTCTAAACCGGTGGCGAGTAAACCTGATGCAAACCAGAGGAAACGGAACGCTCTGCTGTGGTAAACCTTTCGTTTAAGGTCCTGCCAGCTTTCCACGAACGTCCGAGGGAACGTTCTATTTACTGCTTTAATATCCAAAATATGGAGCGATGAAAAACAGTTCCATTTAGAAGTTCCTTCAACGACGTGAATTACATCAATAACGTGACTTTGATAATTGAAATAAAATAATAGGGTTCCCTGAACTTTCTTTTTCCAGGTACATCCAATATATCAAATAAAGGAATTGAATAAGTTCATTTCAACACTTACATGGTATCCAGCGTAAAAAAAAGCCCTGCTCCCGTTGCAATTGGTCAGAAAGGATTATGGAGCCAAATATTCCAGTTTGGTTTTCCGTTTTATGGGATAAGTCTGGTGGAAGAGCGTGTGATAATAGTCATGCTCCGACCGCCGCTATCTCATACTCAGGAGACAGACACGCCTTGCACTGAATTCCCTTCTCACAGGGCGATCATGCTCATATATTTATCTTCTCCGTTTAACTCTCCTCCCCCATGAAGTGACCTTGGAAATTAAACATTCCTCCCTCTATCTTTCGAGCGAGAGTTTTCTAGAGACTCCTAGGACAGGGTTACCTCTGGAGACCGATATGGTCAAGAATTCCAGTATCTTCCGCTCTGGTTTATGACGGGAAAGATCGGCGTGAAAGGTATAAGGGAATAATTCCAGCTGTAACAGGAATTCATCCGCCATATGCTACTACTTCCGCGTCATCTAGCGTCGGTTGTGCGAATCTTTTGTTCAAGCCATTGTCAGATGGATGCAAAATATGTGCTAGAGGAAAACATATATTTAATGTTAAACCAATGTGCTTCATTTACCGCGTGTTTCGTGATGAAACGGGACCTCAACTGAGCTCTCAAACGGTCCTCATCCTTGGACATTGGAGACCCAAAAACCTATTTAAACACAAATTTTGAACGTTCTCGAGAGCGTTCATTTGCTACTTGGGCACACTCATATGTATAAAGCCTGCATGTATCATTTCACCCGTGATTGCACTTGGCACCCGATCACGTGTATTGTCATTATCAACAAAGGCAAACAAAAAATTTAGCAAAATCTTGGAACCAAAACGGCAATGCAACTCTGAGCGCGATTATGTCATTTGTCAAAGCTCATTTCGCGTATGATTCCACTTGGCACCTCGACATGTCAATGGAGCCTGGTGCCCGTGAAACTCGAAAAATTCCCGTATTCTAGGCAAGGTCGTACCTTTAAAAGCAGGATACTACGTGGATGGCACCTTCTAGCCCCAACGAGCTTGCATCCCACCCCAATCGGCATTCCACCTCCTCGATGTCTTCGAGACGTCAACGGCTGGCCGAGTGCATCAGCTCATACGAATGAAGTAAGACAGGGTACATGCAACAAAAAGGCATCGTCACGATACTCAAATCACATTTTTTTTACTGCAAGCAGATATATATGATATAGCATATTTTCCCAAATATTTAACTCTTTTATTTACAGTGATCTACCAAGGGGACTGCGACACGGGAAAACAAAGAGCCTTTGAAGAACTCTTGCACCCGTCGGCTTCCTTGGGTCGTTCACGACCGCTTTCGAAGGACTGACGATGGTGTAAACTGGGACAATAGGAAACGGCATTCTGCAATTCCGAAATTCTGCAATTTGGAAACTGCAGTTTTTGACTTCTTTGAGGGGCC